CGAAGCAGCCTCGACAACCTTCATTCCCATCCGATTTACCCTAAGGACACAAGCGCGACCCCGAAAACGATCCTGAAGACAGCATCAAACCGCAGACCGCGCGCATTGCTTTGTTTCCGGCATCGCTGCCGAAGAAAGGTTCCAAACACCATCAGGACGAAAGTACCGAATCGCGACCAGCAAAAGCAGCACGCGTAGCATTGTTCCCCCCGACCGCACCGAGGAAGCGTCGAAAGCGACCGACTGAAGCCAACGACAACCAAGGGTCTTCGCGTAAGCATCCTCGTAGATCTTTGTTTCCGGTTACTACTCCCCTACGTGGGAAAAAAAGGAAGGCGGACCAGATTGAAGGCAGTGTTAGAAAACTGTGCTCGAGTACCATCCGAAAAGGAACGGGCCAATCCAGAATTCAGTGGATCACTGTGACGTAAAGGCCGGACTTATCCCCAGCGTTTTACGGTTATGCCGTATATTTAAGATCAACTGTGTCTCTACCTGCTGCAACAAAGCCGATGGAGAAACTAATGAAACGATACCTCAACTCGCGCGATTCCGGCGGACTTGGAGGCGTGGAAAGGTTCCGAAGAAGTCATAAGACCAGAGCCAACAGACGGAAAGCACAGGAGATTCTGCAAGAGATCGATGCATACACTGTGACCAAGGAAAATCGGCGTCGCTTTGCACGCAACCGGATCGTAGTGACCAACCTTCGTCAGTAGTATCAAGCGGATCTGGCTGACTTATCGAAATATTCCAAAGAAAATGATGGGTACAAACACCTGCTGTTTGTAATTGATTGTTTCTCCAAAAAGCTGAGCATTCAACCAATGAGGTCCAAAACGGCCAACGAAACCATGAATGCCTTGTCCAAGGCTTTTGAAGAGCTCGGCGAGCCGGAAACGCTGCAGTACGATATAGGCACCGAAGTCGTTAACGCAAAGGTCAAGACCTTGGAAGAGAGAATTATTCACTTTTTTACATCGGAAAACAAAGACATCAAATGTGCCATGGCCGAACGCGTCATCTGCACCATCCAAACACAAATGTTTCGCTTGTTTCGTGCGCGAGTTTCGACCCGGTATATTGATAAACTGCAAGATCTGGTGTACTCGTATGACCACTCTAAACATCAAGCACATGGACTGCGACCAATAGACGTTACTCAGAACAATTCTTTGGTGGTATTCAACAAATTGTATCCAACCAGAGAACTTCGACAACCTCGATTCAAGGTCGGCGATGAAGTCCGGATAGCCGTGCATAAAACCAAGGTGGAAAAAGGCTATACGTATCAATTTAAGGAGGAGGTGTTCTACATCATTAAAGTCATTTCACATACCGTACCGGTATACCAACCAAACGACTACCAAGAACAACCTATCCAAAGAACCTTTTATGAACACGAGCTCTCCAAAGTATCGCGCCCGGAACAGAAAGAATATACCATCGACAGTATCATTAGAAGCCGTGGTGATAGAGTACTAGTTCGGTGGTAAGGATACGGACCTGAGCACGATTCCTGGATAAAGGCATCATCATGTACGAAGGAGCACCATTCTACGTGACGTTCCCGAGCGATGTCGCTACGGACCCCAGCAACACACCTTCAAACTGGACGACCAAACTGAAACATCCCATTACCTTGAAGGGAAAATGGGAAATGGCCCTTGTCGAACTACAGTGCCTCAATTCCTTTTTCACTCTTCCCGTCGAGCAGAAGATTGAAGTGCACATCGTTAAAGAATTCAGACTAAAGAAAGACGAAGCAAACTTTTTGGAGTCTGCGGACCAAGTTGTGCATACCGACGAGATTACCATCCCTCCTGGAAATTACAGGGAGGCCAAATTGCTATTAAAAACCATCAATTCATTGGTAACCAAAGTTGGAGCGTACATGGTGGACGAAACGGTGCACGCCGATAAGAGCGCCTTGACTGCCGACAGAGCCTTTACCGTTCAGTTGCTGAACGCCACCAATCATCGAGTCCGAATGAATATTGGCAACGGGTTTCCGTCGTCTTTCCCCCGTCGTCGATAGTCTTGCAAAAAATGCTGGGATTTGAACATAATGTACTAAAACCGGGCATACCGATGGAGAGCAACAGCAATGCATTCATTGGCCCATTTCCTATGGAGACAAAGAACGTCAGTATCCAGTACCTGTCATTTCTGGCCAAGCCTCCGAATCCAAAACTGACCAGCTTCATTTTGGAGCGACCGGTCATTACCCTACTGGGGTATTGACCGGTCGCTCCACGAACTCACGAAGAACACTTTAATTCTGATAAATACACGAACTCACGAAGAACACTTTAATTCTGATTTCCGGCCTCGGGTAATACGAGGATCAGACAAGGGCGAAGGTCGATTGTGACACGAGCATACTGCGGTATCCTATGCTAAGATCAGACTTGGATCATGAACATCAAGATAACCTTCAGAACATGCTGTCCCTTTAATCCAATTCACAACGCATTCCTCAACACATGGAGTCAGAAATAAGAAAAGTCTCAAGATCAGTAGTCACGAGAAGGATGCCGATATTAGGAACAACATGAGAACTTATAGGCTAGAAACACAGCATCATACGCGTTAAGAGGATTTAGAGAATAGCAAATCAAACACGAAAGAAAGGACCAGATAACAAAATCAGCAGTGGCGTAGGAGAAGGCGTACAAGTAAACAGTAAGATAAACGGATGAGTACGTACTATCCACTCCTCCCATGTCACTACATACTCTAGTAATTGTTTCCTGCTTGACAGCGCAATTACAACAGTAAGTACAGCAACTGGAACTTCCGCTTAAACTGCTCCCGATCAAACGGGAGCAGCACTGTACTGGTGGGTTTATATTTCAGGACCCACTAATCAGCACTGTCTTTCCGAAATGTTTCGTCTTCCCCGACCATGCAGGATGCTAAAGCGTGCAAACAAATCTTGTTCAGCTTGCTGACTCTCAAACTGCCCAGATTGTCTGATGACCATTGGTGATTCTTGTGATGCGCAAAAAGACGCGGGTCGCAGCTCTGACATCTTTCCAATATCTACAAATGCGGTTCCAGACGACAATGCATACAAGTGAAACTATTTACGCCTAATTGTGCTGTCTTACCTGAACAAGATCGCTCTCTGATTTCTTCCTTATTCGTTCTGCTATCCATTGCGATATCCGCTCCAGATTTACTGGTTTCGGAAAAAATAGATGCTCCTCAAAAATGTCCCAAACCTGTAGGACATTAATGGATCCCAGATGAAAAACTACCAGCGGGAAACGGAACTGAACTGTGTAAAAAGGATCGTCACTGTCAGTGAAACTCATGAAGAAATCGCTCCAAATGATGCTCTCACAACAGGATGCTAATCCTCCATACAATCTGACAATGTCAGAAAAATAGTGTTCCAGTGAATAATTTAATAGTTCGGTAACCAAATATTGTCGGCACAAACTCAACCGCTGAATACGCATACCGGCTTCAGTCAGAATTGGTTTATTAAACCTAATCGCCAAACCGGCTGCCGTGGGGTTCTCGGGTTCGACAACCCGACCATCGCCTTCGTTGCAATCGAAATCGAAGTGATCGAGTAGCTTATCTGGTTCTTGTGCATTTTCTTCTTATCTACTACGCGTGGATATAAAATCTTGCTAGTCGCACAGCAGGTAGAGAGGATGATTACGATATTTTAAAACGTTCCGATAACATAACATTGTTTGTCATTATGTATCACATGGTTATGTGTTCCCATCTCCAGATAAGAAAATGTCTATTCTTATTTTCTGTAATCTTTATTTATTTTTGTGCTTACGACAGCTGTACGGGGGTGCTACGCCAAGTTCGGGCAGTTACAAAAATTCCTCTGCTCCAACCAGTCAAGTTTAATAATTTTATTCTTGCAAGATAGTTCTTGCCCAGTACCAACTTTGGTAGTTTTTGTGTATAATCAAACAGCTGATGTACAAGGAATGCAAGTTTCTAATTCCGCTTTTGTGCAAAAAGCCGCACTGCTTAATAAGAATTAACATGTTTCTTCAACAGAAATTTAAAAATTGGTGGATGTTGAGAAATGTGAGATGTGATGTATGGGCTTATGCCGATCCCATTGCATTTACATAAGGAGTAAGCCATAATCTTTAATTGGATAGTGAATGAGTTTTTATTTCACAAAATGCGGTAACATCACAGTTTTAGAACAACAGATTAAAGAACAGAATTTCATTTAATGCTGCCGCTCCCTCCATTGTTCCGAGCACGGAAGCAGCGTTGCCTCGCTGAATTTCCAGTGACAATCGTTGACGGAGGTATTCATGAGAGCGAGCTCACCCGTATGTTGTTGGAGTCGCTTCCCAATTTCTTTCACTAAACGGCTAGCTGACTTTCCCCATGGTCCAAGAGTTTCAAATGCCAGCGGTACGAAGATGTATCTGCCCTGCAGGTACAAATACAATCCCGCTTTTCTATCCTCCGCCTGAGCGGCGGCGGATCCCGCTGTAACTGAAGTGGACTTCCGATGAGAGACAGCGACAGTATCCACGCAGGTGACGTCCCATGCCAAACACATGCCGCGTTGCCACGCGAACGTGGTGCACCCGTCCGGTCGACGATCTGACGTGTGAGATGTATCTCGCGGCTCTAGTTTTGCGGGGATACCGGCTGAAACTAACGCTCTGCACAGAATGCTGTTCAGGCCGTCGTGGCGTGCATGTCTTCCCGCGGAGAATGCACAGGACAGGCCGTGGTGACCATGTACATCTACGGGCTTGTGGCATTTGGAACATGAATGTGCTTCACAGATATCAACATATTGGATAGTTGTTGTGCATGCCCACGAATTTGGTACCATGTACCGGGTCACTTCACTTAAGCGCGGCGGCATGGGCGTGATGGGTAAATTTCCTTTTTTTCTTAACTTCGATCTCGAATAATGCGAACCCAACCCGTTGCTACAGCGCGACCTTACGACTTGCATAGTTTTGCTTCAAGGTAGAAATGGATGTGGGACTCGTACCTTTCAACCTTCTGATTATCGTATAAGGTTTATTATATCTGTACGTAAACGGTATAATTTTATTGAATATCTGCTAGGTTGACTCTTCTGTCAATTCATCCTTCAGCTATGTCCTCTATCTTCTGCTTCTGAAGTACTGGTGGCGGTGACGTCATCCGGTTCATCCTGTTTCAGAGCTTCCGCTGTCCTCGCCCTCTGGGGAGCAGCGTCACACAGCATTTAAGCAGATTTGGTTCAGCTTCGTGATCTCTAAACTGCGCACTTCGTCCAATGTCCATGTTTTCACAGAAAGAGGTGGATCTCTGGATTGATATTCCCGGAGCATCTGGAAAGAACGCAACACAAGCTGATATAAAAATAGTTTAACAGACGTCGTAGAAAAGAAAATTCTTCGAATTTCGTAACAAAGACCTTGAATAATATTCTCTGTTTTTCTTCGGTCGATATGATCGTATCAGTGCTGCAGCGCAATATTCTCTCCCAATCTAGATGTTCGTTAGAATCCAAATGCGTCTCAAAAATTTTCCAGAGCTGTGTAATATTCACGTCATCAAGATCGAAAGCAGTACGAGGAAACCTGAAGGCCACGCCGACGTAGCGCAGATAACATTCCTTCCATATAATGCGATCGCAGCAGACCGCCAGATTAGAATACAGTTTCAACGTATCCTCTATGTTTTTCGCTAAGGAATACCCTGGATGCATTTTCGTCCAGCGACGGTACAGCACCAAACGCTTAATGCGGACGCCGACATATTGCAGTGTTTCCTGGATGAACTGCATCAACTGATCAACCGGTCTGTCGCCGATCAATTCGCCTGTGATTTCGTGCGGAAGATACTCTCGATCCCTCAAACATATTGTTCGTGTTGCGCTGGTAATCTGCTTCAAGATGCAACTGTACACAACGTAAGTAGTGCTCGAAAAACTGTAACGTGCTATATATTGATTGTATAGTTTCGGCGGAGGTAGGGTGATGCAAACATGTTGCGCAAACTGTGGAGAAACGAGAATTTCCTCCCATAGACGGCAGGCACGCCGGCACTGTTGCTGATAGTTGGCATCCAGTGACTGGAAGACTTCCACTAACAGAATAACAGGCAATATTAAACCGCGCTCGCTGGCGATAAAAGTGCTAGTTTCCATCTCTTCGCAAGCTGGGGCGTCCGGATGACTCAATTCGCTGCTCTTGACCTGCATTAAAAATGTGCGTAAGAAATACGGAGAATTCGGGAATATGTATCAACACGAAATTAAATGGAAAAAAGTTGATATATTTGAAAAATATGCTTTAAAAAGTATATGCAAAGCGCTATCGCACACTACTATGCATATAGACATAATAAAAATACACTGAAATTAATTCTAAATATTGAAATGATTTTCTTGGTACACGGCGTCGCAACTTGCGACTCGCAAGCCGAAGGCAGCTACCTCAATTACTGAAATCGAAATACATAATATAATTCTCGATTACCATATTTTTCTGCTTTGATTTAGTGTAACGGCGGCGTTGCCTATAGCGAAGATGAGCGACCAGTTAGCACTGCTCCTGAACTTCGTCTCCTCTACGCGAAGAGACTGAGTTATCCGCCTTCACTGTTAGATGCCGGTCACCCACGCTGTTCAGCGTAATGAAAAAATGTCCCGGCTGGATGATTCTTTTCCGAAGCTTTGCTGCCGAAGGTGGTACTCGGATCTGTGCGTCTGGGAGCATCTCACGAACTAGTTGACCGGCCAACGTTACTTCCACCACAGCGTCGTTTTCCTTACCTTCCACGAGGGCCACCTTCCAAATGCGTCAAATCGACACAATGAACACTATCTAGCTTCCATTCATTATGCATACTTCGAAAAATCTTTTACATTGTATATGGGCTCCCAGCACATCACAGTCAGATATCTGGGCTCCCTACTCGTTAAAACGCCTGTGAAGCTGCAGGTACAATTTAAGACGAAGTGCATTGTACGACTAACTGGTTAAAGTCAAAATATACGATTCGTGCCAGTTCACTGTGCCTCATGCGTACAGAATGCAGCCGTTTTAATGAGCAGGGAGCCCAGGTATCTCAGTGTAATGTGCTGGGAACCCATATATAAGATTTTTCGAAGTACCAGCTGATGCAAAGATGAAAGGATGCAACAGGTTACCGGGCGCAGATGCAACTTATGGTCCAGTGCTGCTCCGGTCGGGCGGCGATAGTGCACGGAAATGGTACTGTACTTTGCTAAATTAAAACAGAATCACGATCTATATTAATCTTGTGTGGTAACGAGTTAAGAATGCGGTACTGTGGTACTGCAAAATGTCCAGCGGAACTGCAAAATTACACCGCTCTCCAGTCCAGTGATTTGATTAATAGATGAATGGACTTTTTGCACAACGACGTTGATACAGTGCTGCCTCCAGAAAAGTCTGAGTTACGCTCTAGTTATTTTCTCTGATTAGATAACATTTATTAGCTGTCCTGAAAATGATGAAAAAATTAATATAGACTAAATGCAAGTTAAAAGGCTGCTACGATCATCTTGTAATCCATTCATCTGGCCAGTAGCAGCAATTGGCAAAATGACGTTTCGGTTAAGGTTTCAGGTCTGAGAATTGGCGAATCGGCATATCCCACCATGGTTTCCACTTGTTGCGCATCCAGCTGGACAATACATGCAAGCACAACTTGTTCAGTTTCTTGACAACCACACCAGCAAGATTGTCATGTGTCCATTTCCTGCCAAAATACTCTGTGGAGGGCCGAGGATCGGTGCTCTGATAGTACTCCAAAATCTGAAACAATATAAAGCACATTGTTATGTTATTGCGAATTTGCAATGAGCATATCACAATAATACAGTAAATTTTTTTTATTCCAAAATCTTCTCCATATGGTTATATATTTCGATAAAATTAGTGTGGAAATCCAGCGCGGAAACGCGGCTTCTATTTTAGGAACTGTCGGCTGTTCTACAGAGCTACAATGTACGACAAAAAGAGGTTGAACCGATCAGTCGGTCCGCGGTTCAAAACAACCTCGCAACGACACGCCCCACTAAAACTTGGACGCTTACTCAGTACTTTCAGACGCTCGCGCTCCGTGAATATCAAAGTGCCGCTATACTAGTTGCATATCAAAAGGAGTAGAAAAAAATTTTAAACTTTTTGATACTAAACCTGTGGCTGTTTATGGCGAACAGCACAAATTCTAGCCATTTTTGCTTTCCCATAGACTTAAGCATTGATTGCAAGCCAAACGGTTATGCGCACAGATCCTATGCTGTGCCTACGAGAAAGCAAAATGGCTAGAATTTGTGCTGTTCGCCATAAACAGTCACAGGTTTAGTATCAAAAATTTTAAAATTTTTTTCTACACCTTTTGATATGCAACTAGTATAGCTGCACTTTGATATTCACGGAGCGCGAGCGTCTGAAAGTAGTGAGTAAGCGTCCAAGTTTTAGTGGTGGTGTGTCGTTGCGAGGTTATTTTGAACCGCGGACCGACTGATCGGTTCAACCTCTTTTTGTCGTACATTGTAGAAGAGTTATTTTACTTGTTTTAGTTTTTGGAAATATTTGTCTAAGTGTTAAATGGCATTTGCTTGTACAAGTATGAAATTAAAAAAAACACAGTTCGATAACTGCTGAACAGTTTGAATAATTTGCTAAGGCAAGTCTTCTTCTACCTTTGCGAGCTTTTTGCAACCTTTTTACTTTTTGACTTCTTAATTCGCTCGGCTATCCACTGCGTTAGCCGTTCCATATCCACTGTTTCATCCGACAACAGGTGCTCTTCAAAGATGTTCCACATCTGTGCCACCTTAAGGGTTTGCAGGTGAAAAACGACCAACGGGAAGTGAAATTCCGCGACAACACCACACACATTTTCATCATTAAAGCGCATGTAAAAATCAGTCCAGATGATACGTTCACAACAGGAAGCCATCGAGGTGTAGACTTCCACCAAATGTGCGAACCATGCCGGCAAAGAAGAACACGCTAATACGCTGCTCATTTCTGGACGGTAGAAGACCAACCGCTTGATACGGACCTTGACTTCATCCAGTATTGCTCCTGTGTCGTGGATCGCCCAGTCGCAGCGCGAAAAGGTTTCCGTATTGTTATCGGTTTGATGTGTGTCGTCTTGAGCACAGGTGTCGTCGTATAAAAAGATGCTGCGGGTATCGGGCGTTATATGCGTGGAGAGCCAAGACAATGAATCTAAAACGGCAACAAACGAGAATCGTCTTCGCGGAAGATTCGACGGGTAGATATCGGTGCGCAGTTCCGGGGAATTCGCAATGTCGTTCCACAGCGCGCAGACGAGTCGGCAGCGCTGACGATAAACGGTGTCCAGTGAGAGAAAGATCTCTTTCAACAGCTCCAGCGGTAACGGCAACCCGCGATGATCGGCATCGTTCGTTTCCTCCGCTGCTTTGTTATCGTTTAATCCTTTGATCGTATCAGTTTCAGAATTCCCGAGCTGATCCTCGCTGTACGCCTACAGAAACCGGAAAACAGTTATCCGTTCTGTGGTTTAACTATGCTCTACGCGGAACTTCAGAATCACATTTTAATCTGACTCTGCAGTTTTTTTTTGGTACCTGAAAATTTCAAAGCTGTTTATGTTCTGGTTTCGTATCGGCGATTACCAATGCAGCTTATGACATACGCAGATCATGATCAGTTTTCTGTTCTAGAGGTACTTTCAGCGAGTCGGATTTAGAAACGACTTACTGTGCTTTTAGTGAGCATCAACAAATCGTAATGTCCGTTCATTCTTCTACTAATTCGATTTTTCAGGGGTTCTCCCACGCAACGGATGATTCTACCATCAACGGATAATGCTATCAACTATGTTTAAACGTTGTGGATAGTCTGCGTATACTAAAAGACAAAACTTCTCAAGACAGTGTGAACGGAAAAGTACATGTACTCCATCCAGGCACATTCAAACATAGCAAAGTTTGAAGGCAGAAGTTTGCCGGCAGACAGTTTCTTTTTCCTGGCATATCTTATCGTTTGCTGAGGTAACTGCAGTGTTCGGTAAAGACCGTGCACCTGAATCAGTATCGTTATCTGGAGACTGATAAATGAAATTTGATAGCGGTGACACGAAACAACAGAGATTTTAAAAGCATTTGTAACTATTTAGCTGCGGCACTGAAATGGTTTTGTCGGTACAGTCTCCGGCAAGCATGTGCGGCTGCAGCGGACCGCGCTAAAAATGTTACATGCAGGCTTATAGATGGCCTCTTGAAGGTTTCCACTGTCAGTAATTAGCGCTTATTTTCTGCGTGCCAAATCAGAATTTAAGATTTTAGCAAATGCGCATTCGCTGCTTTTCCTGCTTGATGAAGATACAGTGGAGATACCGGTGGAACATGCAAACTGTATAACGCAAATTGTGCTTATCGGTATTTGTCCAATGCAGTTAAACTTGTCTGCTGCGATTCACACGCGTTGTCTACAGTGCCGTAACGCCAGCAAAAGTCAGGAAAATTTACCCTGGACAAGGGATGGTGCGAATCCGGTGTTCGTAGCCTGACTGGGGAAATTGTATTGTTTAGTGTTTGCTCATTGTGAGGCAGAACTAAAACTTTTTTATTCTTGAGATTTTTTTAACAAAATTTTTTTGGGCATTAGGAGAGTTAAGAATTTTAAGGAATTTATTGCTCCTGCTGTCAAATTTCTTCGAACCAAATTTTAAATTGTTGATAATTTGTATACTGGCTGCTTTTCGTGAAAACAGCAGTTTTAAATGCGAAAGCGCCTCAGGCACGAGAGCTGGAAAAATCGTGCAGTTGCTGTTGTTAATGCCAACTATTTTCCCCATTTGCACTGCTGACTGCTGAGAAGAACTTTTCTTACCATCTTGCTGACTTCCTGTTTATCTAGGATACCCATTGCAAAAGCAGTAGTTTAAAACTGGTCTGTCTACCTTTACTTTATTTGACAAACGCATGCTTGTGGTTTTTGTATTGTTTGAAAAGACTCTCTGCGGGGAGTTTCGCAGCGTTTAGCCAGTATGTCTCGGGAGACTCGATAAAATGTTTTGTTATTGACATTAGGTGCGGCGACCTAGTTGTTCTTAAGAATCGTAACCGACCCATCATCACAGGAATCGCGCGAAGTAGTTCATGACAGTTTTTTTAAAGGCCCACAAAAACTGCATTGTGGCAGTTACGCAAGATACGATTGATTTGTAGCTTTTTACTACATACAGATTGAGATACCTATTATAAAAACTTATTTATCAGCAGGCAGCGCACAACCAGGAGCGCTATTTTGTTATTACGGGGTGTTCCTAATAATTATAGAGGTGACTCACGTTATGCAGTGCGACGATTTCTATCGAGTATGTTCAGGTGGATACCGAAAAAGCGGACTGCTGAACGCCAACAGTTTCATTGTCAGTGTCAATGAAAATGCTCTTTACAGCTATCGGGTGGCTTCAGGCTCAAATGGATCAGTGTGCTTCTGCGGTGTTTCCGTATGCAAGAAGTTGCAAACGCACTGCAAGTGAGGTTAGTAAAAACAGCTTTAGGACCACCCCAAGAGATAAATTATGGTATGTAGTCTTACGGCTCGCACGTAGTCACGTATATATTTCGACTTCCGTTCCAGAAAAACTAGGGTAAATCTCTGGACCAATTAGACGGACCTCGATGTAAAGAATTCTTTTAGATCTGGTGCGTTCCTGGATGTGACATAAACAATCACTCAACAGAAAATGCCCGGATACATGGTACTTAATTTGTATGCATGTACGAAACCTTTCACTTTCGCGCACTCCCAAAGCACAATTTTGTTTTGTTTTATGGCATCATTTAGCCAGATAGTTTGTTTACAGTGGCGTGAAAACCGTTTGTGCGCGCAGCACCTGGTTCGGGAGTTATGGCTGTTAGAAAATTCCAAAAAGTTAAATGCATTCAGGTGCACTAAAAGTCTCATTATAGACTAATCTCCTATAAACTGTGCATGGGAACGCATATATTTATGAAGATCGTTTTCACACGGAATCACCGTTCTGAAATTTTTTTGATATCAAAATAATTTTGGAATTCAGTCTTCATACTTACGTGCATTTATGGGCAACATTTAAGGGAGATCTGTTTATATTGACACTTTTGGTGCACCTGAATGCATTTAAGCTTTTTGGAATTTTCTAACAGCCATAACTCCCGAACCAGATGATGCGCGCACAAACGGTTTTCACGCCAGTGTAAGCAAACTATCTGCCTACAAGCCCGTCCGGATGATGAACACGATAGAAAACAGCGAAAAATGTAAATTCATGGGTTACGCCAAGCAACATACTACGCCACGCCGCGCCACACTGTTTACACATGTAACATGCGTTTGGCTGGCTGGTGCCTTGGTACACGCCATATGTTTCAATGAGTATAATCGTGATTGCCTGGCGGAAGGTGTCTAGGAATCGGTCGGTGCAGTAAGGGACAATCTATCTTCGGAGCGCATTTACACATTGTGGTAAACTTAGTGTAGCGGCCATCGTGCTAAGCGCTAATACCGCGCTTAATATGCATTAGCTGTACCTTTACGTGCTCATTATCCGGACGTGCTTGTACAGTATGTCATAAAATAAAACAAAAATGTGCTTTGGGAGTGCGCGAAATGTGTTTTGGGAGTGAAAGTCTTCGTGCACGAACAGAAATTTGGTACCATGTACCGGGTCACTTCCCTTAAAATGCCATATAAACTATCATTAAGCATTGTGAGGACTGTTTTAATTAACGGACTGATACTGGCTGTAAGTAAGCGAAATGCCGCGATTATTACAGACTGACATGGATACCCGGTCAGCATCCGGCGCAATACAATCTTCGTTGGCTGGCCCACCCGTGGATGTGCAGGAAAACCGTGCGGATATTAGTTTGTGTCCCTTATCGCTAAGTTCACAGCGTATTACCGAGTTTGACATGATACCACTGTACTTCTTAAGAAGCTATCGCGTAGACACCCATATTCAACATGTAAAGACGGGTGAAACGGAACCTGTTCTGAGCGGATTAACTGGCAGTTTCGACGACGGTGCCTGGATGTTCATTGGCCTTTTGTCTTCGTGGATAATAGCCGTATTTTGGGTGACCAATATTTTCGTGCGATGCCATTCTCAGATGACGGTTAACGGCGAATACCAGTTGCGGCAAAAATCGTTGAAGAGTTTCCTAAAAACTTTCGTGGAAATTACATACTTAACCTTTAGCCAAGGCAAGACTTACGTTTCAGTTAGTTATGCATCGGCTGAAATGATTAAACGGTTTCTTGCAGCTGACGTCACTCCCCCAAAAGGTGTCGTGACCTACAAGTTCCTGACGATGCTGTGGCTGGTATGGAAGTAATTATAATCGCAACCGCTACGTCATCTTTAACGGCTACCCTTAGTGTCAGTGTTCCAAAGCTTCCCTTTACCTCGCCTGACTCATTGATCGCAGCTGGTTTCCGTGTTCTACGACGCAGTAACGCTGCCGACGATCTTGCTCGAGACGGCGCTGACTTCGCGAGAATGTGGGCACAAGCCATTACGTTTGATACCAATAACACCGACGTCTTGTATAATATCGCCGCGAGCACATCGCGAACGTTGAAAGCCGCAGTGGTATGTTTCTACGGAGATAGCAACGCATGCAGCAAAAAAGGAATCATCCCGGCTTTTGACTTTGGAGTCTACCGATGGGTTAGCATACTGCAAATGAAACGAAGCAGTGAACTGACAAGACCAATCACTTTGAGGTAATGATTGGACACACCGATGCAGTACTGGAGTGTCAACGTTGTCATTTTTGCCGATTCTTTCTTACTTTAATAATTTCTTTTGATTGATTTGTTGTTATACATGACATTTTTATTGGATGTTTTATGTCTGAAAAATCAAAATTTTTAAATGTTCAACAAATTTAAACCGAACATCGCTGCACGGGCCGCTGTATTGACCTATAGGTACTTAAATTCGGCTTCGGCTAACAGATGACACTGCATTGTAGAGTGCAGCAACTTTTGGAAACTGGAATCCTTTCCCATTTCTCCAGTATCCACAAAACAATGTCGTTCAACACGAGCAGTGACAATAACGTGTACAGCCGAAATAAAAAGTATCACCTGGAACAAAGAGGGCCTGCTCAAAATGTAACGTGGAGCCGGCTCGAAAACGTGTTTTTCGCTGTCTTCGGGATGCTAATGGGTCTACCGATAGTTTTCACTGTCGAGGTGCTGTGCAATCGTTTGCGTACTCGCCGGCTTGAAAACCAGCTAAACGGATCGTCATACTGTAAAGATACGAAGCGGTACCAGATTGAAAAAAGGGGAATCCATCCGTAAATTTCTCGCTTGGTGGAAACGAAGATCACTTGACTTACTTGATCGGGAGTATAATCGCTGTCGCAACACGGAGACTAAGCAATCGTTTCTGCGATTCTTTAACCATTTCTCTCTTGAATACAGCAGGATGGAATAGTGACCGGGCGCGAGCCTTCGGCGCTGTCGTTCCGCCGTGGACAGAATTCGAACCTGTCCGAGGGGCAGCAGTTCGCGAATTCGATGCCCATTCAGTACCACTTCCACCGCCTGTCACGTCGATGACGAAGCCATGCCGCAGCAGCCCATCGATTTCCACATCCACAGCGTAAGTGCGGTATATCGAACGCCATTGTCCTTCATACAAATAAATGCATAGTACGGGTTGCGTGAAAGGTGAACGTACACATAGAATCATTGCAAACAGTGCGACAACATGGTGATAGCAGAATATACTGCCAAACCAACCGCTACAGTCTAAAACGGCAGCTGGTATTCTCAGAATAACGGGAATGTGTAGTACTATATCTTATCAGCTGCATACAGAGATCGTTTCGATTCGCAGCAGACACCAAGGAGTCGGAAAGCGAAACAGCAGCAGCCGGTTTCGCGATCAAATATATCAAGCCAATCTTGGCTGATGCCGGTGTGCGTATGCAACGGTTAATCTTGTATGATCGTGTACATATTCTGGGGCAATTACTCCTACACGCCACGCGAGGGAACCGAAGGTGGGCTCGGAACTTTACTTCCTTTGGGCATTTATGCCGAACATGGCCGGAAACGGCCCCGAAGCCATCACAGACAGAAAACAACAACAAACAAAAAATTTTTGCTCTGGCAAATGCAAATGACGCGAGTAACAGTGCACATTTCCCTATTTATAGCCTTCACATGCATTTAACAAGAACACTACAGAGAGACGTGTCGTGTGTCGTAATACGCGGATTCCTTCGTCCGGCTGAATCCGTTCCATTACTCCTACACGCCACGCGAGGGAACCGAAGGTGGGCTCGGAACTTTACTTCCTTTGGGCATTTATGCCGAACATGGCCGGAAACGGCCCCGAAGCCCAAGAAACCCAAGACAAAAAACAACAGGAGCATGATCCGATGCCGCGCAGCATAGAAGACGACGAAGAGTTCACAATTACAAAGGCTGAATCCCGGGATTCCGGGCAATCGGACAAGGATAATCAGAAATGTACGGAATTCCGCGCATTTCCCAATGCATTAATGGGTTACACAATAAAAAAAATAAAGTAATTCTCTGGCGGAAATCACGCTCAGCGCATTACGGTGCTAGGAATGTATGCAGTCGCCGGACCGTATACACAAAGCAGGGTGCTTAGGAAGTCCTGTCGCATCCCACGGCTACAGCAAAACGTTATCAACCGTTGTCCAGTCAATTTGGGAATTCCACAGATTGACCTGAATACACGCAAAATGAGGTCCGCATCGCGGAGGGAAGGCCAAAAGCACACAACAACAATGCACATTAAAAATTCGCACAGATAAGGCAGTGGATCCGGGAAATGTCAAGTAAATGACCCGGTAATGACACGATTGGAGCAGCTGTAATTTATTAATGATGGCAAACTGGCGTAAGCGATGATAAAGTCCGGGTCAGAAGAACAATTAAAATCAGCACTTTGTAGAAATTGTACAGAAAACAAACCAGTACAGGAACTACAGGTCACGGTGGTTGAAGGTTATTTGGCGCTGGTTGCTGGATGCTCGCTGCAAGCAGAAGCACGGTGATCCTTTCGGCAAAACCCGCAAACATGTGGAAAACGGCAAGGGACATCTCGGCAAGGTCGGAGCTCGTTATAATTAAAGCAACAATAATGTGGGTAGCGGGATTCCGTTGTAGTTATGCGATTCGCCTGGGGAAAGTTGACCTTGGCATTACCCGCTTGGAATCCGCAGTTTCGGCGGGAATCCGCTGAAAAGTACCCATCTGCCGTGCAGTCGCGACGCGAAGTGTCCGAAAGGTCAAACTTTTCAATCTCGGCTTCCTCACGAAATTCACAATCAAACGCTACAATAGCTGTGTCGTCGTACATACAGCGTTTGCGAGACAAGTAGACCTGGTATTCCAGGAACTCAATCAGCACCGGTAAGGCGTTGACCTTCCGTGCGAGGTCTAAGGCAGCCATAATGTTGCCGGCAAACAGTTCGTCGCATGAGATTTCATGCGGCTTAACATCCTTAGCGGCTTTGTGAGCTGCCTTCACGAATGGAAGCGTATGTGGTCTGGGTAATTCTCGGGCCTGGACGGACGTTCGGCCGCTCTGGGTGGAACTGCTGGAAGTCCTTCCTGGGCTAATAGAGCCTTCTTCGTCCGAAGCTGACTGGTGGTGCTTGGTGGTGCGGTTTGGGGAACGACTGCAGCGGGAAGGCAGATCCTTGCCGGTTTCCGTCGCAGCAGAATGGCCGGCAGCGTGTTCCATGACAAACACCTCAAGCCGGTTGCGGTCACGCGTGTTGCTGATGAAGTCCAAATTGTCGGGAAATTTCCTGACCTTCGCCAACAGCATAACATCGTCAAGGGAATTGTATCCGTTGTCAAAGAGCTGGGAAACGGACGCTGCCGAAATTCCGATGGCTGCAGTCAGCTGTGAAGGGGGATCACCATCACCTGCTGCTGCGTCCTCCTCAGGTTCCGAAGATTCATCCGGATGAAACAAATCGTAGAGCCGCTTGACAAGTACGGGTTTTGTTTCGTCAAATACCTGCTCGCCTTCCTCTTCGACAATGAGCCGTTTGACCTCTTGGAGGTTCAAGCGGCCCAACTTCTTAAGGTTAAACGTGCGAGCTTCTTCAATAGTTACGGACATGATAACACGGTAAGGGTTAAACTGCTAAACCTAAAAAACGGTGGATAAGAATTAAAAAATTTTTCCTCTGGCAAATGAAAATTTTTGCTCTGGCAAATGCAAATGACGCGAGTAACAGTGCACATTTCCCTATTTATAGCCTTCACATGCATTTAACAAGAACACTACAGAGAGACGTGTCGTGTGTCGTAATACGCGGATTCCTTCGTCCGGCTGAATCCGTTCCATTCCATCACACTTTGGCTTACTGGTCTCGGGACACTGCCGATTTTTACGTCGGAGTGGCAACATACTGTGAGCGTATCATTTGGAAAAAGTTTGTCGTGAGCTTTACTGATGTTGACGAACCCAGTGAAGTCATCGAATTCCGTTTTCCGTTCGTGGTTTTCGAGCTGCAATCGCTTGAAGTTGCACAAATTTGGGACTTGTTTAAGGACAACCTGCTTTCTACGAAACCAGTGAATTTAAAGCCGATAGCGCAAAGGACAAGTGTGCAAAGGGCAAGTGTGTACGGCCACCGAGATGTGCACATCGTGATGTAAGCATTTTGTGGCAGTGTACCACAGACAGCACATTCTGCATCATTGCTGACCATTGTTGGCCTTCGCCACTCTTCGGTTTATCAGATGCTTTTGATGACGCGCTTGTCGTCTCCTGTTTCTAGACCATCGGCCACCACTATTAGATAGTTGTATTAGGTGAGGCATATTGTTCTCGGTTAGTCGGGCATGCGGAGGCTCGGCGACGTGAGCGCGCTACCGAAGATGCTTGGTCATCGTCGTGTTCCTGTTTCCCTAAAACATGACTGAGAATGCTTATAAGTTAATTAGCATGGAGCACGCATCAGCGTCTCATTTTCCCGGCGATCGATGCCGACCTATTCAGCATGCGGTTATTGTGCAAGATTGTTGTCGATTTTTAATCTGGCATTCGCTAGGCGACGACCGAGGTGGACTTCCTGTTATCTCTGCCTTACGTCTCTGCAGCCTGCGTGGATTTTCTAGGTTGCATCGCTATAAAAATATTATGATTTGCAGAAAAACGTTTCCTCATTTAATACGAGACTGCAAGCATGTTCAACACGACCGTGAATTTCTCCGTAGAATTGTCCAACGGAACCACCCTTTCGCCACAATCGCGGGTGGTATGGCCATTCGACTCGATCATGACCTTAACATGCAGCATCCTTATGGCCATCTTAAACTCAGCGCTAGCCGCCATATTTCTCGTTAAACGTGATCTACGTTCCGCCTTCGCATCCTACTTAACCGCCCTGCTCCTCTTCAACGTCCTGGTGTCCATCCACGGGTTCCTGTACGTTATCAAATCCCAGTATCCAGTGTACATGCGCAGTCACCGCTTATGTGATTTCCGCCTGTATGTTTCTTGGGTGGTGACGGGAATTCCGTTGAATCTCCACGTCCTAATCACGATTAACCGCATCTGGGCCATCGCCTTTCCGATGTCCTACCGTAACCACCATTCTCCGCGGTTGGCATGGATGCTGGTCGCGGCAGTGACGGTCTACGTGCATGTTGTGTGCTTGCCGGGTGTAGTACTCGATGGGATTTACTATCGGATGCCGGTAGAGAAAGGTTGTGTAATTAATACTCTAGCCCAGCCGCGGTGGAACCAAACGGCGATGCTGCTCATCTTCGAATTTCCCGTTGCCTTCATCGGCGTTTCCTGGATCTATCTGCTGGCTAAGCAACGCCGGCATCGACACTCGGTGGGGACTATAGCCCTGGTGGCAATGGGAACGCAGGTGCAGGACGGACCGACGCCACCCCGGAATGAAAATACCGGGAAAATGCAGTCGAATAGGAGACGGTTTAGCCGAGGATTTGTTGTGTTTTCCGCGCTAACTCTCAGTGCGGTTTTATGCTGGACACCGTACGAAACCTACTACGTTATCTGGGCGTTTGTGGACCTGAATGAGACGGATCAGCGCTTTGTAATGCTGTGCTTGGGCTTATACTTGATCCAACCGGTCCTGGATCCTGTTCTCATTGTCCTGACCATGCCGGATTTGCGGAGGACGATTAGGGGAATTTTTGATAAAATGAAGGCGGTTTTTACCCGATCTTGAAAGGCAGAAGACATCAGCTGGAAGCTTATACAACCGTCCGCAATATTTTAGTATCCATTTTAAACTTATGTTTAGCACCTTTGTACTCTGACCAGCGTATCTTTCACATGGTACCTCATGGCGTTACTTTTGTATATAATACTACTTCCGGTGATCATTGCTGATCGACGTCATCTAGAAAATTTATCCGTATTTCAAACTAAGCCATCGTATATGCAAATTTAGGCTTCATCTTTCTTGGGTTATCATGAGAATTCTGCCGAAACTTTGTTCTCGTTGCTCTAGTTTCTTTAACCGACTATGAGCCATGGTATTCTCACTATCTTACGCAATCGCTATTCAGTCATGAACAAAATCGTTGGAGACCGCCGAATGATTCTTTATGTATATTGTGTGTTTCCTGTGACGTCATGCTCAGTAGCGCCCACCATCGTTTATCGGTGGAGAAACACGACTGAAAATGTATTAAAGCCTTAAAGGCACTGTACCTACTGCCGAAGATATTCATTGCGGATACGTTTCTGTACTTGTTGTTTATCCAAAGGCAGCGCAGTAATATAATTCATCATGTTAGCAAAAGGGTGTGGGTATTGACGCAAAACGGAACCATGGATGAGCAGCCAGTAAAAGATAAACCGAGACGGTGTACGCAAGGATTCTCGGTGTAATCGACCTTAACGATAAGTGGAATGTTTTACTGGGCGCCGCAAGGGGCATTCGTATTGCACAGTAAAAACGTGGATTAAAGGGAAGTGGACAAATTCTTCCTTAGTGCTTGTCTGATACTGTATTGGATAGAACTGGTTTTTTTTATCCGCATTGCGCTAACTAAAGAACGGCTGTGAGATAAATAGAATTTCCTAAAGAAATGTCTTAGGTTTACAGAGGTTTTACATGTACAGAATGGCAAAGTACCACGGCTTTAGCCATATGTATTTATAAATTGTGATTGACGTTGTAATGAGCATCAGCATTATTTTACGCGGTATCGCTTTAACGATAAAGCTGTCAGTCTTACAGATCCTCTTATAAATGCCACGGCAGTGGGTGTACATGAAAAGAAAACTTATACGTAAAATTCTGCAGCTTTGGTAAAACGACTTATTATTCATCGGACTCGAAAATGGAAGACAATGGCGTATCGGTCGTTCTGAATTTGTTGCATCTGCGAAAGATACACGCAATTCCGGACGACGCACCAAGCACGGTAACATCGCACGGTACCAAGTAACAATTGCCAGACAAACGCACAGAAGAAAAACTTTTTGTACTCCTGAACCGAAAATACACATATTAATGCACGTATTAGAGAGAAAAATACTTTTTGTTACGGTAACACGCTCACATTTGCCATTTAAATTCACTTTTATCCAAGCCCGCTATCCTTAAATTTTCCCTCCGTCTTTTGGACTTGGCCTTGACCGTATCAGGTTATATAAGCACAGATTTTTGCAGAAGATTGAGTACTCTGCAGGACTATACAAGTCCTTCGACAATCTGCTTATTCAGATATTACTAATGTTTTGTTGGCTTGTTATTTTCGTTATCGGAAATGAGCTAGTCCACTGTATACAGAGCCTGTAGATGATTTGCGCTGCAATTTCCCGCAAAATGTTCGACTGTTGCTGAAATAATGCAGGTTTTGTTTTCACATTTTTAAGTACCATTCCACTCACCCTTAAAAACCATTGCAACGCCCATACATAGCGTTAACAATTTATGAAATAACTGCGTATTGTAAAATAGACAGTTTATTCCATTTCAGTTATACTGTACTCTAACAGGGGATGAACGGCTAGTTCACCCCTGTGCGAACAGAAACGGAAACTGAACGACAACACCATTCACACCTTTAACTATCTCTCACATAACACATCAAAGGCCACCGCAGCAGCTTCTGCTGCGCGGCAAAATGAAAAAGCATGCAGCTCAGACGATGAAATCAATCAACTGAAGGAGCTACCAGATTTAGAATCGGCCCACGCTCAAACTCTGGCTCTGACCGCGACTACTCTTTGACAACCGAAACTTTGAAACAGCCCAGTAAAAACAGTTTCTTAGGTTCCCTATGTTATTCTTAGTTTACTCTTCAGGTCATAGGTTATTGTGAGTTTGTTCTTATAATTCTTAGGTCTTTTAGGTTTCTTAGGTCTTCCTTAGGTTTCTTAGGTCTTCCTTAGGTTTCTTAGGTTTCCTGGGTTTCTTAGTTTCTTGGGTTCTTAGTTTTTTCTTAGGTTATTCTTTGGTTTCTTAGTTATTCTCAGATTTTTTAGGTTATCCTTAGGTTTCTTCTTAGATTCCTTAGGTTTCTTATATTTCAAGCGAGTCTTAATGTTTGTTAGGATTTTTTGAAATCCTAAGAAAACTTTATTAACATAATTGACTTTATTCATTTTAGAACAAGTGAAGAATCACCCAAGAAACCTGAAAATCACCCAACAACCTAAGAAGCCTAAAAACATAAGAAATTTATTGTGAACCGAAGAAGCCTAAGAACATAAGAAATTTATTGTGAACCAAAGAAGCCTAACTAGCCTGAGAATGACCTGTAACCTAAGAATAACGTAAAAAGCTAAGAAATTTAAGAAATCTAAGAAAACTTAGGAACCTAAGAAGCTACTACGAGGAGGGGATAAATGAGCTCGATGTACCCGAGCAAGGGGTAACAGAGCTCGTTATCCGTAACCGTGCCTGTGCAATACGGCCAGCCACCAAGAGACGGCAACTTGTTCTATAACGCAAAATAACTGAAACAGCCGCTGAGACCGATAGCTGCTTTTTTCTCCATAGACTCGTATGCTAAACAAAATCACTTGTTTCTTACACATTTCGAAAGAAAACCACTCAACCTACATTTCAAAAGAATAAGAAAAAAATTGCAAGATTTTTGATACCAAGAAAGTTATTATTAAGGATGACAGAGAAAAGTTATCGCCATTCATGTTTCTCGTAGACAAAGCATAGAGTTTGTGCGTGGACCCGACCGTGGATCGAGATCCCATGCTAAGTCTATGAGAAACATAAACGGCGATAACTTTTCTCTGTCATCCTTAATAACTTTCTTGGTATCAAAATCTTGCAATTTTTTCTTATTCTTTGAAATGCATAAGTGATTTTGTTTAGCATACGAGTCTATGGAGAAAAAGCAGCTATCGGTCTCAGCGGCTGTTTCAGTTATTTTGCGTTATAGAACAGGTTGCCGTCTCTTGGTGGCTGGCCATATTGCACAGCACCTTTGCTCGTACATCGTATATATTGCCTATGGCAGCGTAACTCGCGGTTTAAATCGAAACTCGGTTTTCTTGTATAAATAACTCAACTCTTAGCGTAACTCGCACGCTCCCAGTAACTCGTAACTCTAACTTTGGGTAATTCTTCTATAACTGCCCAGGTCTGGAAGCTACTTTTATTGGTGGTCTGTTCTAGTGGTCAGAGTGTTTCGGTCAGTGTTAAACTTTGGTGAGTCAAAGTCAGAGTTTGAGCGGTCAGCGTCTGAGTCAGAGTCAGAGCTTGAGCGCGGGCCTTTGGAATCTGGTAGATAAAGAAAAACACCAGCATAAACAGCAAAACAATCTAACAGCTTCCCGACTCGGGTACGGAGAGGCCACGCCTCTCACAATACCGTCGAAAACACTGTACAGACCGTTAATGGCGAGTGAGTCCAGCACGATGACAATGTAGGGGCTGTCTGGAGAATATTCGTACAAATGGATCATACCGCCGTGGTGGTAACTTCCCTTTCAGCTAGGATCTGTGATGCGGCCGATAAAAACGGGAACATTCGCGATCTCATTCCAAATGATCACCAGGAACGGGTGATTCGCAACGAAGTTCGGTGAGGAAGCGCAGCTAAATACGAAATCACAACACATGACGTCTGCCGCTTTCACGCCGTATTCGTTCACTTCTGCAAAATTACAGCTACATGAAACACTATCCAGTGCGTTTTCTATGTAACAACGCTTTTTCACAGTACATGATTTCCTCGCATTTTCCAAACGAAAATCATTTCTATAACCAGTGACCACGCTAGTAATTCTTGCGACAATTAGAGGTTTTAATCCAGTGACAGTGCATATAAAAATGCAGTCGTTGGTTCTTTCAGCCATAGTTGCTTACGTGGCCGCGCTAGAGGGTCTGATAGCTCCGGCGAGTGTTTAAAATGCTATCTTCAAGCGCGAAAGTTTTTAATACAAAAGCACGTTTTTTAACGGTTCTTTAAAAGCAGTTTTATTTTAAAAGCTGGTCGAATCGGTTCCGCCGACGCCGATGATCTTACCTAAAACCACTTCCTGTCGGAAAAGGTCCACCTGTTTCGGCCGGCGATCGTCCTCAAACATGTCGCTAAAGTTTATTTCCGACGGCTGAAACATTTCCTGAAGGCCCATCGCTTTAGCGCGCGGTATCAAATCAACACCGTAGGCGATACGAAACTTTGGTATACTGATAGACAACAACTCTACGGAACATTTTTCGCGCCAAAATAGCAGCTTCTCGATGGTCAGGTCCCTCTCTAAGCTGTTTATTCCTTCGGTATTTTTGGATGGCAGTATTAGCATAACGCTGAATTTCCTCTCTTCAACGTCAAGAATAATCACCTCCGGGTCTCCCGTTTCGTCGCCCGGGTTGGTAAGAAACGCCCGGAGGATGGCATAGTCGTTCTTCATAAATTTCACCGTCTTTTCAACATCGTTCGGACAGTAGAATATGCCGCTATTGGTGTCGCTTACGCTAAACGGTATTTCCCATTGACCGGAGAAATCAATGACATTCATCAGCAATAACAGCGTCAGCGGACTGACTTCGCTCAACAAATTGGTTATTTTCCCATCAGTCTTCTCCGTTGCAAAATTATTTATCGCCCTCACCGCCTCACCGGGAGATTTCTCAAACGGCGTTTTGACCGAACCCGAATTTCATTCGGCTCTCAATTGCCTCCTAATATTGTGGAACCAGGCAGCATTTCTCATCGTAAAAAGCAACATTCACTGATTTCAGTGCCCCCTCCGTATTTACCGCCTCCAGATTCGTTATCAGTTCTGAAAAGTCTCTTCCATATTGGCATAATAATGCTGTTAGAGCGGATTTCAGTTCACCGTTGGTTCCGGGAAGAAGTGCCGCCAAAATGACCTCCGCTGAGTATGGGCTAAAGACGATATTCGCATCCGGAGCATTCGCCGTCGCAATAACAGCCTGGAACATCTTCACCGCAAAACTGCTCTCAGGGTTGACGCTGAAATCTGTCGTGTGTGGTCGGTATTCATTTTGCACGTGTTTCGGGAATTCGCGCGGCTGGCGTCCCAAGCAGCTCTTGAAAATATCCATTAATTTTGCACATTTTGCTTCTGCAAATTTTGCTTTTTATTGGGTAATAGAAGCACCTGTTGGATTAACTATCCATAAACAGGTTAAATATAATGGATTAGTGCTTCAACATGAAAAATGACAAAACTCGTAACGCATTTACAGGTACGAGTGTTTCTGCAGTGAATATTGTTGCAGAACGCTGATGCGATGTCGGTAATTTTGTTACAACATTAACAAGGGATTGATTCAACCACGTCTTAATGGTTAAAGGAAAGATGCGAGAATGCACTTGTGTGGTACCGGGGAAAAATCTGAACCACAGTACAGTGTACAAGCTTTGAGATAATCGCCAGTGGGAGGGAAGCAGTGATACGTAGCAAGGCGGTTGCCGCACATGACCTAACACACGGCAACTGCAGCGAGCCAAGTAAGTCCAAACAAACTTATTTAGCCGAGAACGTCTAAACAAAAATCACAGTAGTCACACTGTCTGCAGTCACAAGCATGAGTCGATCGTAATCAATCGCATTATTGGGCGTGTCATATCATCACAGGCAGCCTTTCTGCAATAAACGAAATTTTAGGAGGCAGGAGCCGGTGACATGTATATGGTGAGTATTACGTGAATTGGTAATCCCATTACGGTGATTGGCCAGCAAGTTGTCCTAACAATTAGTTTTTTTATGACAAATAATGCGTGTTTAATTACGGATTAAACCACTCTGTCCAACCCTCACCAGTGACATAAACCCGTTAGTCTGGACTCTGAAGTAACACTTGCACACATCCATTCCGAACCGGGAGGGGCAGGGTGTAAAACCTGGCAGTGGCATCTGCCACTGGCACTGCCAATGGCATGGCGAGCGATAAATCTGAGACTATGGCAACTGGCAAACGATAAAATTTGGCAGATGCCGCACAAAATGTGGCACACTTAAAAACGAGTCAAAAGTGGTTGGTCAGCTGCATAATTCCTTAAAATGTCAATTTGCATATGAAGCGTTGTCAGCATTACTTGTCATGCACAAAGTGCGTAAGCAAGCGCCGACATACAAAGTTTTATAAGGTCACATTGTGTTTCGCCGGTGCGAAGAGCACCAAAACACACAAGGGCGTTAAAAATACAATCGCGGTGCTTCCAGATATAAGAAGCACACCCAAGAAATACGGCTTCCGATTAAACGCGGTGCTGTATCGCTTGATTACCATATAAACATGTTGATCACCTACTCTCACCGGGTCGGTGCCTGCACGGTAGACGAGCCGACACACTGCTTGGGGTTTCTTTTTACTTGCCTTTCCTTGCATTCCTTTTACCTCAGGAAAACATGCAACATAAGCAGATGAGCGTTGGTTCCTATAAAATTAAGGGAAGTGTGCTGGTACATAGTGAAAAATCGGTGTACATAAACGGTCACTATCTTTAGCGTAACCCAAACCTTTTTTTCCTTGTTCTAAGTAATTCTATAGTCAAATGATAGTATACAATTGCGTGAAAACCGATTATGGGTGCAGCTTCCGGTGGGAGAGAGAGTGATGACGGGAAAAATTTCAACAGCTTGAACGTACAAAAATCCACAAATTATACACGAGTTACACAGCTTAGGACGAAATGGTCGCATACCCAACATCTCTACATTCAGTATGAATGCAGCACAGTGCACTGTACGACTGAGTTCAAAATATCCGTTTCGTACAAGTGCACTGCACCGCTTGCGTACAGAAAGCTGGGTATGGGGCTATGCGACCATTTAGTCATTACCAAACCGGGGACCCGCGTTCGTTTCCGTGCTATTCCAATAGCAAATGGACACTGGACAACCTAAGTACCTAATTTGGATATCGAAAAGTGGAACAAAATCTGTTTTACGGCGTTGTCGCAGTATGTGCAAGACGACCGAGGCAAATGCAAGGGCACTCAGCCATCGGAAGGCATGAAATATAGTAACAGTTCGGACGAGGAGTGATTTGATAGCGAGTTGCCGTCGATGGCAGTGGAAACGCCGAGGACGAATCAGCAACCAGCTTCCTGAAAGTGAAGTACTAGTAGTAAAAGAAGACAACAGAAAATTGAATTATAGCGCTTAGTATATGTGTCTTGCAGCGTTTTAGCCTGAAAGGTAATACATATTGCCCGTAGCTGTTTAGCTCTCGTATTTTTCAAAACTGCTTTTACTGCCTAGGTGGATGTTTTAGTCAAAGTAAGTATGTACCGTACAGTCTGTACGTAAATATGGTTTATTGGGTTTTAATGAAAACCGAAGCGAATGAAAAAACTTCCGTACGAAAGAACGCTGTAAATATGGAAGCATACGGAATGCAACAGCACGGCCATGCCATCGACTTCGGATATTTTACCGACAAGGCAGTACAAAAACAACAGAAACAATCGCATAACCACAACGTGACACGATCACATGAACTTCACAGTATATATCACCACAACCAGTACTACTGCAGATAATAAGTGCATTGGAACTGCTGCCGGCAATTGTGAGAGACATGCACTGTTCAAGAGACATGCACGTAGTTACCTACTAATATTACTGTGGAAAACAAGGCTTATGGACCAAATTTGCAGTACGTTTAGCTTTACCATAATAGCAACACAGCAGACTGATTTTTGTCAGTTCTCAGACTAGGAGCCAGTTAGAAGGCTGCTTCTTGTGAATATTATCATAATAAAAAATTTAACTATTCCCATGAAGATCTGCCTGACTCATCATGCATATATATGAAACCAATAAACGAGCAGTACACACATGGACGGCGGTTGACGTGGATGTCGACGGACTGCAACAGCACGGACACGTGATCGGATTGAAAGATGCCGTCGGAGGTGCGCAGCGTCTTATCGTGGATTTTGAATGTCCGGGGCAGCGTGCGGTTCCTGTGGAATACGGGAGAATATTTCACTGCGCTGGCGAGGAGGGCATTATGGGAAATTTATTGCCGGTGTTTTGTGATTATCGTATGGCAAACAAAAAACTGTCTCCCGCGCCGGCAGGTAATGATCACGCCGACGTAGAAGTGTTGCTCCGTGATCATCCCCGTCGTCCGTGGATATGGTATCCAGCCAAACTTCTTATGATCGTGTTCGGCCAGATCACCGCATTACGTTCAAATCCGCCGGATTTCGTTCTCGTCGAGGTGAGTTTGTCCGGTCAGTGTTGCCGCGAACTGCTTCCTTTGTCTCAAGTGCGCCGGCCAGCGACCTTAGAAGAACTCCAACGCAATAAACTTGACCCGGGTTTTTTCTTGATCCGCTGCTGTTGGGTCTCGGAGAAGTACTGGGCACCGTTGGAAGGAAGAACGGCAGTGCAGTTGGGCCGACAACTGGATGGTCATGTTAAATCCATGGTATCCAACATTCTCCGCCGCGGCATAGAAATGGAGGAACTGCGGATGCTACGCATGCGGTTGCTAGCCCTCGGAATGGTCGAGGGTAAAACGGTACCTGTGGCAGATCTGAGGGATTTATTCAGGCAATATCTGGCTTACAGATGGAGTGATTCACTGCTGAAAGGAAATTCGCGCGGAAAGGAAGAAAGAAGGAAAGCAGAGAGCCGCGAAAACCCAGCAATGATGCTAATACCGGAAATTCTAAAGGAGATCTTCAAAATGCTCGACACTATCGCGCGGCTGCGTTGCAGGCGAACCTGTCATCTTTGGGAGGCTATCTTGACATCACTGGAGCTCTGCCGCGATGTTCATGTACGACTGAACGAAAACGATGACCTGATTGGCGAAGAGGCTTGGAATACTAATTTTAGCGCATACGCGTGCATCTTCAAACACATAACGTCGGCCACGCGTACAATCTCCATCCGGGGTACGTACAGTGACCGATTAGCAGTGGAAAACAGCGCCGGCTATATTGGCCAAGTTGTGCAAGCCCTTACAATCCGCCTGGATCGTTTGATTCTGTCCCCAACCGCCACGGGCATCGACGGGATTGAGCACGACGATCCGTTTCACAACTATCAGCAGGAAGTGCTAATCCGGGACAAGACACTGCGAGCATATTCTGACGATTTGACCACAACGTACTCGCGTATAGGATCCTGGTGTGATCGCATAATTTGGACCAACTATTCCCTGTGTATGTACTGTCCAGCCAGATACTTCCTTAAACTTCGCATTCCGCGGGCAGTATTCGATCTGCGCAACCTCTGCGCCGTCCAGTTTTGGAACGTTTTTGAAAAATGTCTGGTCGACACGCAGCCGTTAGACGTGGAACGTATTACCTGCTGGATGGATCAGATTGAATCACAGTCCATTAGGAACTGCCGTCGAATCATAAAGGTATTGCTTTTTGTTGTACAGCCCTGCCGGGCCAAGTTGGGTCAGTTGAATAAAATAAATTATAAAATGTCGTGTATTCATCGTTCTACTTTATCTTTTAACATTGTCAGTATGACGTTTTATTACGAATTCAGAACTGTCAAAACCGGTCAGTTCGGGTGTGCTAGTTGCGAGCCAAGCGGTGATTTGTATTAAGCAGAGTACTGTAGAGTAACCCTGCACTTGACAGCTTTTTCGTACGATATGAGCTATACGGCACTGTAGTACTGACAAACGTTCAGCTGACTCAAAGCCGACTGCGCTGCACTCACATGTGCTGCCTGTCTAGTCGCAGGCAGCACATGTGAATGGTGAATGTGCTCGTACTCTGTACAGCGTACGTCTCTCTGAGCTGTAAAAAAAGCTGTCAAGTGCTGGGTTACTCTACAGTACTCAAATTGCAGCTAAACTCTGTGATGTAGACTTTGAGGGAGTACCAGAGCTGCGATCCGCGACCATTTGCGCAGTATTCACAGCAAGACTGGACGCTGGACACTCTGGACAGTTTGGATATTCGGAATCTGAACGGAATCTGTTTGTACGTCCTGTCGTGTTGCACGGAAGAGTCGAGCGAAGCGCCATCGGCAACCAGAGAAAACGATGAGCCCCTGACAAAAAAGATAAAAGCGGTCTAATGTGTTTCAGGGCTAATTTGTACGTAAATATCTGAAAACGCGTGTGATTCAAGCGCCTAAACGAGTCAGAAATTTGCGAAACGCTGCAAACGTGCTTGTATATCTGTATGTAGATAATACAAGGGACATCTCGGACTTAGGTTTCCATATCTTATGTCTGCCCGTACTAACGCATAATAAGCATGTCCGATATGTGCCGGTGTATGTCCAAGTTTCCAACGCAGATTACAGAATGTAGCGACTTTGGTTCCGAGCACTGTCGTCGTTATTCTCGTCGGCTTGCTTGTTCGCTTGAATAACGTGATTTAAACCAAGTGAACCAGTCACGTCCTAAAGTATTGGCATATACCCATTGAAAAATGATTTCCTAACTCTACTGATTTAAATTAAATAATTTAAATAACTAATTAATTTAAATTAATTTCCTATGGAGAGCGTGCATCAAATCCATAAGCACAGCCTTATCTCGCAATGACACATGCAGACAGCTCACAATTGCCGCACCGTTCGGCTTGACGGTTGGTTGTATAAGTACTTCGTAATTGATTCTTGAATTCCTTTGATCAATGTTGCGTTGACTACGGCGATTCTATCAGCGTTTGTCTGCTCCAGACACTGTACGTATGTAACCGACCAAAACAACCGGTCGTCTGAGACGACCGCCGGTCGTTTTAGCCTCTCAACCGGACACGAAATTACATTCCGGCAGAAACGACCGGATACGACCTTACACTCCGGCAGAAACGACCGGACACAAAATATGCTGTAACTGAAATATGCTGTAACTGTTTTAATTAATCATAAAATAACTGCTGTTGATTAATTAGCCACTAACAACCGATCAATTAACGTAACTGCATGGTTCACCATCCCGGCTCAGCATCTTGTCCAGGGAGCTGATGACCACTGGTCAATATAAATAAAGCATTTAAATCGCTAAATGGTAAATATACTGTGTGATTGCGCACTTCAGACCCGTGAACACGTATATGATGACCAATTTGACCACCGGCTTCACCGGGTGGTAAAGCACGGTTTTCTCCATAAGAATGTCTTATAAGTATCTTAAGTCGTTTTGGTCCACCCGGTCCCCCTGGACCATATTCAAGCTCTACTGCGATTATGTTGCTTTTTACTTTTCGCCTTATTACAAAGTATTAATATTATTATCCAGTACTCTTGGTTTTAAACAGCCCGCCCATTTTAGCATGGCGAACAACTTTGACACATACCAACATATCGGGAAAGTGAAACACCTCGGCTAAATCAGAACACGAGTGAGTTATACATTACACATCATTCTTTATCCAAATTAGTGCAACAGCGCACGAATAAAAGCGAACGTACGCATATGCTGCTGACAACTAAGACAACAACCTTAACGGATCAGCTGCATTCATCTGTGCCGAAGAGACAAGCAGCCAAAAAGTTTGCAGTTGACCTTTTCCTTTGACCTCGATCAATCCACGTTCCTGCACCTTATATGGCGAGTTTCCCGGCAGAAGCTGGGCGGCGTTCTTGCTGAGATGAATCCTTCCATCAGCGCCATTGGTCAAAATTCTCGATGCCGTGTTGACGGTGTCTCCAAATCTGTATAACAATAAATAATGTTTTAACGGATGCTGTAGATAGACAGGGTAAAATATTGCACACTGTTCACAAATCACAACGAAAAACGGTTAAGGTGTAATAATTCATACAAACAATAGCGGGGCACTTTGTGTCCGACCACCCCGGCCGCGCATATGCCGCTATGGATCCCGGCACGCAGTGATGTACCAGGGAATACCGTATCCATACTTCTGTATTCTCCCAACATTTCCATGGCTAACGCACAAATTTCTTGCGCGTGAAGATCTCCGTTGCGTACGGGTATCCCACTGACGACCTAATAACACGCTGTTGCATTTTCGATGTGGTTCGTTTATTTTCTTGAACAGACCATCGTGACTTTTGATACTACATACCATATAAGAGTCCTTGATTGTTTCCACTTTGTACACGTCATAGGATGCCACAATGCGATCGAACGAAGTGTACACCTACTCGAAAATCATAATATTTGGTATGGAGGGAACCTTGTACCTGTTTTATGAAAATCATCTTCCACTCACATTATTTAGGAACAACATTACAGTTTTCGGATCCGCTGCATACAGAATGTTCGCAAAACCTCCGATCTCGCTGTGAAAATTCGTACATATTACGATCGTTGCCGGATTTGCAATAATGCGGAATAAGATTCTTACGTAAACATTATTGTGGAGGAAAGAAACATTTCGGCATCCGGTACAATGCCTCTCCGCAGCTGCTCAATCACGATGCTAAACACAAGCATTTCAGAATTGTGAAAAAATGATGCGTAGATAAACTATGCAAACCTGGGCAGCATTTCCCTTAAAAGAGCATCACATTTCTTCCGCTCATCCAGCAACGCCATGGTGCGCAGGACGACCAGTCGATCTAGCTCGTCCGTGTAATTTTCCAAACGGCGAACGATCCTTTCGACCAGGTTCTCGTTGTCCTTCATTCCAAGGCCAAAAAAGCAAAACTTCAGCAGCTGGCCCACACTCGGTCTATCCTCCGGATTGGCTGATAAACATTTGACCAATACCGGAAACAGTTTGCTGAATTTGTTTTCAGAATGGTCCGCGATGCGCTTATGCATAAACTCTGCACAAGAATCAGGTCAATCAATTGAACCAGTTTAATTTAAACTGGTTAATAAAAACTGTGGTTTTTGCCCTGACCTAGTGTATCCAACGGTTCCTCTTGGATAATGATTTGGTACAAGATAAGACCAGTTGTAAACATGTCATGTTTTCGCCCTTCTTCGTGGACGGCTTGGTTGCTCGTACTGTGGTGGTTAGCAGGCTCGAGAATGGTACTGTTGCGTGTTAATACGGTCTGGATTTGCGTATGACCGGTTTTCCCAATTTTTAGGCTAAAATGCTTATTCAGTAAACAGCAGTGGATGTTGAGAAATCCATGAAACTTTACGGCAGACCGGTGAATTGCTTGCAAGCCCTGTAGAATTAAAATCACAGTACTTAGAAACTTAGAAGTATAGAAAAACAAAATATACTCTGTAGATATGGTATAAAAATAAAAATCTACTACTTAGAAGTACAAGAAAATAAAATGCAGTATACTATGCAGTTATGGTATTATCATATAAGGGTATATGGTATTTATATACTTCACATTTACATTTGCATAAGATATGGTTTTCGCATTACATTCACATCCCTGTTTCCTTTACCTTGAGTAAATCAAACAAAAATGACGCCTGCAAATCAAACTCCAAATGGGTCCTGGCCATAAGTTCCAACACAGAGCCACGCGGGCAGTACTCGGAAACCAGCAACACCGACTTTTCAAGAAAGCACAATCCAGCGAAGCGACAGACATTCGCGTGGTCAACTTCAAGTATCTATTCCACATAAAAACGGACCACTGACTGAGTTATGAGAAGAATAAACTGATACCGGCATTTACCGTTTTTAGCAATGGCAACAGAGGATTGTTGAAATGGGGGAACGGCAATGCAGTTTCGGCAACGGATGCGGTGGCGGCACACACCGGTGTTATCCACACCATTTGGTTGCGCTTAAGGTATATCCTCACGCGATCTTCCTTATCTTCCAGCTAAATTTAATAGCGGTTTGATCTTCTATGATTTATAATAACTACTAAAACGTTTTAGTGGAATATTCTGTTTTACCGGTTGTAGTTGCTCGTATCGGATCCGCCACGCATCGGAAATGGAGGCGTTGTGCGCGGCACGTCTGTAATTATTGACCATGTTTATTACTAGTATATTGTGGAAGCATAGACCGATAGATATTAGCCTTCGGTCCGGGAACGGTTAAACTTACTTTCAATACAAAAATGCAGTACTTTAGTCACATACCTCACAAAAACCGCGGCAATAAATATGAAGAATAAGGTGGCAGTGGCGGTACCTACGCTAGCTCCAATTATGGTTTCCAGAGCACCTATGAAAATAATTATTATTTGCATCATGGCCCGTAATATATAATACTCGTGTAGAACTCGGTCTTTTTTTTCGCATAGCGTGAATTTCCGCAAGATTCACCTTTCGGATGACAAATCGGGGCGTCTCCACGGAATCCACACCGAGGTTCATTCGGTGGCGGCCATGGAATTAACCAGCGGGGTTCTTCGCCCGTTTCCACGAGAGTAAACTCGGGAACTTTTAGGACATATAGCGTCTACGCATAAATCAATTGTTCTGTGAATAAATAACTATCTATCAAAATATGTGAAAAATTAGACCTTTTACTTACTCGGACACGCGTCGAATTCCACTCCAGCTGGGTCAGACTCATTACCGGCAAACGCTCGCCAACCTCATCAATCCAAACATCTCCAATCTCAGTCGTGAAAGTGCGATTCCAGAACTGCTTGGCTAATTTTCTCCCAGACGACCACACTTCTTGATTTCCGGTCGAGCGCAATTCTTCCATTACCTATGGTAATTTCCTTTCCTTGCAAATGTTGCGTATCAAGTGGAAATGCCAATGACTGAGTATGACGCAGATCAGCATTGGTAGCATGGTAAGAATGAGTTATCTACTCGGAATACAATTTTGCTTCGTCATAAACTGCAATACCTGTGCGAGAATCAGCATCGTCTCATACGTGGCTGCCGGATGTGGGGTCACCTGAAAGAGAACATGCGGTATGCTGATTATTCAGTAATGTGAGCTGCTAATTGAGGTGCTGATTTCTTCGTCCTCAATTATCTTCACCCGCTCGAAAGGCTTGTACGTGTAATTGAACATTTCCCTGGATCCTTGAATCATTTCCTGGGAGAAATTTCTTGATCCGTTGGTTTTCCCGTAAACTGCTTCGTTGAATTCCATCAGCAGAACGGAACGATAAGCTTGCTTAACAATCTGCATTTCCGAATATGGATTTTGTTAGGGTATGTGATATCAAGAATGTACTGATGATGAGTAGTAAGTATTAACCTTAACTTCAATTATCCAGTATTACAGAAGTACTAACTCCATATTATAGGGGGGAGAACCATGAAAGTCGAACCAATTCACGCCACTGCTACCGTCACCCGGCTGGAGTGTGACGTTACGACAGTACATATGGTTAAATCAGGCGCGGTATATAAGCACCATGTTTAGCCACAACGTAAAACGCCAGCCGGCTGACGGCAGAAGAACAGGGGAATGGTTCGAGTAGCCTGCTTTTTCCTTCTATATTTTATTAAGTAAATTAGTATTAATTTCACTTATAGTGTAAAACGAATTTGTCGTTTTCGTGTTAGGTGTCAGGACACATTATCAAGGACTGGCAGAGTGAATAATACTGAATTTTAACAACGCGTTTAGCGCGTAGCAATTTTAAGAATCTATAAAAAAATAAACCATGCTGTACCTCGTCGTCACTGTCGCCCTTGTCCCATGAATAATAACCGGGTTCTCTGCTTTTTCTAAATCCTGCCATAGGTATGTAGACCTAGTAGAACAACTTGACCACATTTTTATTGGTAATGAAGTAAAGAATATCTGTACTTGTTTCAGAATTAACAACAGCTACCGATTAAGTTGTGCTTAACAAGTTAACGTCTTTCTGTGGAATATTCGTATGAGCGCCGGGAAAATATCGCTATATACAGAAAAACCCGCTCCATTTAATAGTATATTAATTTTTATAGCAGAGCAGTAACTGATTGCCACAGATACCGTATTAAAAACATGTGAATTTATGATTGTAGACCGTTTTCTCTACACCACGTTGTCTGCCTGGTGTAATAAAACATTTAACCAGGAAAAAATTATCCTGTAACTAGCTGCTTACATGCTCGCCATTGGTCATGCTGAGATTTGATGCCGCCAATAACAACCGCCGAAATTCACCGAAATCGCCATAGTACACGTAGACTGCAACCAGAGGACTCTAATACGATTCAACCACTGCTTCTATTCATAATAACACTACGTAGCTCATGTTATACTAGGTTAGTACACGCATTAGCACCTCGAGCTCGATCATTCAGCCGGCGAAGCATAGCAGTCCGCTCGGCATTGGTAATAATCGTGGAACTGTATGATTCCTGATAACCTTGGCGGCCATTTGTATTTAGAATATTAGCCGAATCTCCGGACAACTGCTTATAAGCCGGATTGGCACTGAGATCGGCTACAATGGCCACGGACGTCCAGTTAAACTTTTGCGCTATACGGAACACCATACTCAGAAAAACTTGGAAGGAATTGCACGTTGTTCCGATCCATGTGGGTGTTATTGTTTTCTTACGGAGAGTTGGGTTAGTTGCGACACTACGGACAGTAATAAAGATCAGATAAAAATGTTACCAAGCAGTTGCTTAGCCAAAATTACGATCGTACGCATGTCTAATGTCCGGTGATAATAAGCAGAAAACGAGTGCTTCGCGATCACGATGTACCGTACGAGTACGTAGGTACGTACCATAATGGACATAATATGATCACCACACAGCGGAAAGCAACAGCCAGGGTGGCACCGACTCACAGTTACACGGAAAATGGAAGCGTTTCGCATTTTTAAATGCATAGGTACATTAAGTTATCAGAAAAGTTTTGCATTTTTTTTAGTTAAATGTTCTATTACTTCGGTTACATTTTAAGTATGTTAATAAATTTTTTTCGAAAGTTACATATGCTTTGTTACTGTCTCGTACTATTGAAAGTAGTTTGAGTTTGAGCCTTGGTTAAAGTAAAGAATTAAACATCGGATCACATTACAGTGTGATTACACGTGAGAAGTAATTCAGTGTTCGGTAGGCCACTGCCAATATTCAAGCACAAGATAGTGATGACCATCCATAATTTTAATGTCGCTGCTGCATGAACGTGCAAACAAGGGTTTAGACTTATAGTCCCAGAAATTTAATCTGTCCGTAGTCTTAGATGTTTATTGAGCCTTTTTAACTTTTAATCTTGTATCCCAAAAGAACTCTTTCAGGCAGTTTAATAAGACTTCCCTACTCTAGTAACTGGGTGTTAAAAAACGACTTAAAAAATAGTTTTTTAACAAATTTCAATCGGTTTTTGAAGCTGAGAATCGAGCCAAACCCGGGCCATATCCCGTGTTTTCCCGTGCTACAAAACCGTACAATATAATATTGATGCTACGCACGTTGTTATTATCAGCTTGTCCAGTTGCGTCGCGTAGGGAACAATTTCTTGAATTTCGGCACATCCTAAGAGAAATGAATAATACTCGAAGTAGGCAGAACTGTTATTTCATTAGAATATTTCTATAGCCTGCAGAAAAGTTTTGCATAACTCAGACGATAACTGCTCTAGGACGTGAATGACATAATCAACAAGTAGCAATTTTTGAACTTCCGAATACACGATTTAGTTTTGAAATGGCCACTTACCGCTAAAAAGCATTACACTGGCAGAACATTTGTCACGGTGTTTCCCAGGAGCAAGCTGCGCGTTAAGATGCTCCGCGGTAAGATACACAACATCGGTTGCAAAGGCAGTGCACTCGTTGTATTTCTTATCGGAAATGATCGTCTGCGTGATGTTCAAGCGGGGATACGACTGCCGGATGGTTTCCAGTGCCATGCGATAAGCCGGCCCAACGTATGGCATGGATCCCAGATTGACCGGATATAGAAATGCCAGTGTGATGATTTCCAGATTAACCACACTGCACACCGCTGTGGAATTCAATATGGACTGCGAGACATTCATGGTGGCGCGCATAAACAGCAAACACAGATGCTGTAGCTACATCTGACTTCCAGAGGTTAAACATCTGCGAGAAAACTGACGTGTCAACAGCGGAATAAGAAACACTCGTCTCCACCAAGAGTTGATATTCAATCCGGAACTCCACATCTCGGAGTCGCTTGAAGCCCTAACGGAACGCATACTGCAGGGCATTTCCGCAGTATTAGCATTCATATGGCTTTATAATTACGCTGCGCTCCAGAACAATCATTTTATGAATTGAGGTTGTTTATTTGGCAGTTACAAGTTCTCGTACCATAACAGACACGCGCTAATAGAAACCACATAAACCAGTTGGAAATTTGAACAGGGAAGAAATAACTAAAATTGTTCGTGTTATTTAAATTCCCAGGCCGAAAATTTAATCTTCAAGGTGATCTTGATTTTGTCTGTCATATCCGGATATGTTTGAACGGCCGCATGTTGAGATACAATTATCCATCACGACGAACGGTAAACGCTTGGAAAGGAACCCGGAGCCGATATAATTGCGTGCTGCCATATGATATCTATTATTGTTTCTTTCGTCTGCCGGGAAGAGTGGCGGATTGCCGGTGCGGATCCATATGAACTTGTAATTACATCTCACGGCCATCATAATTACTAAGGTGACATGGCAAACACATTTATGTAAATGTGCCGCCATTGAATATCGCAGCAGTTGGGTCAATGTCGATATTACTAAGTATGCCGCATTATTGAATACCCAATACGTCTCATCTAACTTGGTTCGGAAGGGCAAAGCACTGCAATTAAATTATAAGTATTATCTAGCTAACACGATTCCGAAATTACTTTCCATGAATTTTTCTATTATATTGTGAAATGATTGGTCTTACTAGATTAATTCTGGTCAGTTAAATATTTGAAACTGCTCCCAGGCGACAGTACTTAATATAAACATTTGAAGCGCAAACAGTGCAAAATGTACGAGTATTTGCGGAGACAAAAGCTTCTGCATCCCGATACAAGCCAACAGCGTAAACAAATATTTACATATATACCCAGCATCAAAATTAAAATATTATTATTTTACTATATCCAAGCAAAAAATGAAGTGCCTGTGAAAGCCAGAGTATCACATGAAGGGAAGCAGTATCACAAGAAGGGAAGCCTACAGTCGACCATCCACTTTAATTTCTTGACGGAAGAGTAGCTGACTTATCAGTTATCCACGAGCACACAAAAGGAGGGTGATAAGATACTCGCACACTGAGATGTTAAATGCAATTATCTACCTACATTGAGCGATTTCCATCAAGCATTTATGACTTGTCTGTCGGCGTCTGCCCCGGGGTCGTTGAGTCACTACTAGCGCAAATTCGATCGCCGCGCATATTACATACTCGTACTTAAACTGAGTGACTCTCGTTTTTGGCTGACCCTATCCATGCCAAAATTTACCAAGGGTGCGTATAAGGTTTCCTCTGGTCAAGGTAGTGCGAAAGAGGTTTTATTTTTTAAAACAACCCAGTAAGTCAGAATATTGTATTAAGTTAACAGGTATCATTGTAAGCTCAGACCCATGGGTGCGCACTGCGATTATTAAGAACGCTGCGGTATAAACGAAACCATACGATTAGCGACCGTATTTAAATGTCGGGGTACGACTACCGACGTTTAAACGGAAGGCACCACCTGAAGTTATTAACAAAACGAAGGGGTATCAGTTGGTTAGTTATGATGGGGAGATTCAGTAACGAAGATTTGTTTCACATACATGTAGACCAATGAGCACGAAGACTGCGACGACAGGACAGTGTGCCTCTGTTGGGTCGACCCGGTTCGGCGGGGAGGCCAGGTTCGAGCATGTGTGACGGGGCTGTCGTTTACTCGACCCGGCCCGGATGCGGTACAACAGAGCTTTGGAATGCGGCAAAGAGCGTCCAAAAGTACAACATTTATTCCTGCTCTGACATTCAGTCCTGAGTTTTCCATTCGACTCGAACTCAAGAAAATTATATCAGTCGACCTGACGTTTGCCAGTGGTTTTTCGCCAGCTAAATGCGTAAAGGTTACCTGTTAATTGCAAGGTTTGATATCTAGATGAAACCTCAATTATCGAAGTCTGGTGTAGTACACAGCACAGTTAAACGAGTATGTACATACACTGACGGCTTACTCAGTGGCCAGTGAGTGCACTATAAAATTTCTAAGGTCCTACAAGTTCTGTGTATTAGCAGGCACCGCATGAACTACACTGCAAAACGCACCTGAATATTATCACTGTTCCAGGACTCTCAAGGATAGTTTTTGTATACTTATCGCGAAGCAAAGCAACAACTTGCAGGAACACCAGAACCGCGAGAATGTTGTGTTGTTTCCTTACGGTGTCTTCACCGCAATTATACTATACCTATTCGCCGGAAGATCCAAGATGTTTACAAATTAAAATGCGCATAAACCGGTGAACACAGCACAACCATGCTCGCTAAGAGATATCACTGAAGATAATATTATAGGAAAATGCGCGAAATAACAAAAACTCAAAGGACCACAAAACAGGGATTCTTTCAAGCATCTGGCATAATAGCAATTGTCTACATTAAGAAGTGCACGGGCACGGCTAGCTTTCACAGCAGCAGCACCAATACCACTCTACTCTTTCATGGAATCCGTTCTCGGGCTGTCAATTTCTTCTGAAAAGTCTCCTCGGATAATTCTTCTTACGCATCTACGCTTCCGCGGATACATTTGTTATCGTTGCCTGGGATACAAAGTGATACACCTTTTAAGGAGATTTTGTTCAGCTTCGTGATATCTAAACTGCCCAGGTTGTCCAGCGTCCACGTGATATTGGAATAATTCAATAATGGGCCGATGAACGCGGATCACCACATTGGCATTTTTCGAGAATCTGAAGAGAACCGATCACACTGTGGACATGAACATACAGAAAAATTTACGTATCACTAAAGAAGCGTTTACCTGGATAATACATCTTTTTATCTGGTTTAACTGCCTAATGCAGGATACCATTGTATCCGTTACCAACCGCGATATGCTCGGCAGATCTTCCGGCTTAACGGTGGTGTCTAAATGCGCTTCAAAAATTTCCCATAGCTGTGCAGCATTAAGGTGATTTAGGCTGATAACAGCGCGAGAAAACTCAAACGAAACACTTGAGTAGCTCAGGCAATATTTTTGCCAAATAATCCGGTTACAACATGATGCCAGACCCGAGTATAAGTTCGCAATGTCGTTAATATTTTCCGCCAGCGAATACGTCTGTTGCGGCATCTGCAACGAGCGCCGTTATAACACCAAACGATTAATGTGGACGCCAAAAGTTTGCAAGACTCTTTTGATATACTGCATCATTTGTCCGGCCGGTGTATCACTGTCCAGTCGGGTGTAGGCTTTCTCCTGATTGTATTCATGGTACCGCAGACAGATTGTCCGTGTGGCGCTGGTAACTTGCTTCAGGATACAACGGTAGGTTTCCAAATATGAAACCGGTGGCGGCATAGCTACACAAACTTGCCGAGCAACTTGCGGAAAATTTTAATCCTCCCACAGTCGACAGACGCCCCGACATGTCTGCTGATGGATGGAATCCAGTGACTGGAAGACTTCCGTCAAAACCACAACGTGCAGTATTAAACCGCGCTCGCTGCCCGGAAAAGCATCTATGTCCACTTCATTTTTAGCGCCCGCGTCTGTCTGGCTAAATTTAACGGCGGTTGCCTACAAGTAGTTTATTTCAGAAAGAAAGAAAGTAACCATTTTAAGAGTTCAATCAAATAACATTCGAATAAAATTTTTTTAAAACTAAAAAGACGGCTTCAGTCAGCTGTCGGTTCTTCAAGCCATCCAAAGTGAAATTGTACCACAAAGCCGATGACCGTTCTTTACGCAAAATCTGAATTAACGAAAGCATTTCTTTTACGTATGCTTGCCGCATTACCTCATTTTTGTGTATTGTGTAGTTGTCACGGCGTCTTTGCATGTAGGGGAGATATTGGATCAGTAGGCATTGTTGGTGTACTTCGGGTTTTCGGCGCGAGGTAATGGACTTATTCATCATCACCGCTAGATACCGGTCTCACAAACTGTTCAGCGTAATGAAAAAATGCCCCGGACGGAGGATTCGAGCCTGTACATCCGTAGTCGAGGGCGATCGTCGAATCTGATAGCGTGGAAGCAGTTCGCGAAGCAGGTGACTGGCACGCGCCACCTCCACTGCCCCAAAGGTCTTCAGACCTTCCAAGCGATCCATAACGAGTTTGGCTGGATACCATTTCCACGGCTGATCAGGTGCAGGGTACCGAATACGCATTGAAGGAATTTAAGCTAACGTTAATGGCAGCCGACAGGGTTACATCAGCGTAAACTGGTAGATGCATACTCATAACACGTACTCGTATAAGAGCTATAATCCGAATTGGCAAGCATGATCGGTTGGTTCTCTAGACGGTGTTTACTGTCCCTTATCTTATCAACTAAACTGTTGATTAGAACGCTCATTGAAGTACAATATTCGATAACGGTGGAGTTGATAATTTAGCGACCTAATTTAATTTGCAGTATAAGTTGTAAGCCTTTATTTTGTCCGTTTAGATCGTGAAACTGCGAAAACATCAAAACTATTTCCAAGGGCTTTTATTTTGTCCATCAAGCAGACAAGTGACAATGTATCTTTATAGAGCTGCCGGCGGACGAGTTGACGCCTGGAATGGTGTCGATGTGGAAATGGACGGATTTCTGCAGCACGGTAATGTCGTCGATATCGAAAGGACGGTTCAGTGCGACTAATAATTGATTTTGGGTGCTCGACGCAGCATTTCGTGCGTGTTGAAAACGGAACGATCCACCACTGCAAAACACCGATGGTTAAATGGCCAAATAACTCGTATGATCGGCAGAGTGCCGATACTCAGATACGTCCACCCAATGCACAGGCGCTACTGCGCGCTCAACCTGATAGTCCGCGGAAATGGTATCCTGCATTAGTCCTTCTGCCTAGCTTTGAAGGTCTTCCGTATCACGCGTTGGTTGAAATACTGTTGGCAGGGCATTTAATTCGGGAAGTGGTTCCATACCAGCAGTATATTGACTTGGGTCCATTTTTGTAGATCCTGAAAAGATACCAGACCTGTGATCCGCGTTCGTCCGATCAATTTTCTGAAAATGTGTGCAGTTTCGTTACTGCGCGCTGTTTGGATTTGAGAAAATTAAACAAGTTTTCTTTGTCCGTCATATCGGAATTCGTCCAAAACGCTTATAACCGGTCACCATAAGGCACTGAAAACGGTCGGTCGATACAGTCCGGTGGCTGAACTCCGGCCGGTGAACTGAAGAGTTGCAGACGCTGTTCAAAGAATAAAAATAATTTTCTTTACTAAATCATTTCTAATTTCTCTTGCGCACGACTCTTTTCTTGGATAAATTTATTCTTATTTTTCAATTTTTGTAATATCGCATTTAACTTTCATGTTGCGATGGTCTACGAAAATACTCAGAGTTATTTTGTGTGCTGTAGTAAACTGTTAATTTAAAAAAAGACAATGCTCATACAACGGTACGATGACAAGGAGAATAAGCTGATGTGGCTGCATTGCGTGCTGGGCATGTCACATATGCCACATATTTCAGTGTACATGAGAAGACGTTTAATATGGTGTTCGTGATCGCAGCGGCAGAAAAGCGTTCGTGATCATAGCGGCAGAATTGCGATACGAGGAGCGTCTTAAGCCAAACAGTTACTACATAATTATTGTTTCACAAAAACGGCCGTCATCACGTTATGAAAGAGGAAAAATAATATTAGCTTCTTGTAGACAAAAGAAATTAATGTAACCCACTACAAATTCCTAAACATTCGAAAAAATTTCGCTGATTATAAATGGCCATACTTTTTAACGCAAAAGCGCCGTACGCTTAAACTATGGCATGCCTTCGGACATAAAGCATTTATCGAGTTGCTGCATGATTGCTTCATATGGAAATCCTTGCGCGCGCAGTTCCCGAATTATGGACTGCAGTTTCCGGTACCGGCTGTTATTCTTGTTCGTTTCCATATCACGCGCTTGCAAGACGGATTTTCTTGAAGAGCCTATCGTTTTAGCGCTTGGCTCGCTGTCAGCGCCGGTATGCCGATGATTAGAAGTGGTGTCTGCCCCGGCTTGAACGGGTGAAAGCGGCTCCTGGATATCTGCTGGACGGATGATGTGGTCGCTGGAAGCAGCAGCAGAATATTGCTCGTTTACGGCATCTGTGGTTACCATGGTACGCCGGTGTCCAGTGGGATCTATCACTACATCCGCTGCACGGTCTTCGACAGACTCCGAAATGAGATAACTGGTTTTCTGCGCCTCTTTTTCGCCCTGCTGTACTCGAGTCACTACTGGAGCTGGCAACGCTGTAAAACCAAGTGCAATTAAGCTCAAGCAGCCGGTTCACTTGTGACGCTTACCTTAATTACAATTATTATTATAAACACTTCTGCGACAAAAACATCAGCAAGAGTTCAGAACGATTCTTTGAACCAGCAGAGAAAGAAATCATTTCGTTATTGTAATAGTACCCACTACCCAGTACAGTTGATCTGCGTTTCACGAGTTTTTTCACACGCGTAATGTACAGGCGTTATCGATGGGAATCATAATTTTACTTTATGAACCTTGTTTATACTCTAGCAGGTTAGGAACGCCAGCACGTGCACCTAACCGCCAAGGTACGCCTACCGTTCTGACAATCCGAGTCGTGCAAAGAATTGCTGTCTTTGGGCTCCGATATTCGTGTGGTTTGACTTCGGCGCCGTGACGCAGACAAATCTGGTAAGGCCGGGCGCTCCTGCTGGTCCATAGAGCTTTCGGGGTTAGCAACAGTGGCGGAGTGTGTTGCTTTGAATGCTGGACAGCACATCAGGCACCTGTTGTTCGAAAATAAAAAATAAACAGTAATTTTTCGTATTGGAAATTGGAATCACATTTAACGCTAGACACCTGTTGCAGTAATAGACATCCGGTAGTCATGACTGATGGGTTAACGAGCAGCATAAATGATAGAATAGTTTCGCCCACACCCAAAAGGGAAAAGGCGTGTAGACACCCGGTTTAGACCGCGGTTTCAAGTTTTGTTAAATTTCTACGAGGTATGCTATGCTGTCTGTCTTCCGGTATCTTCCGTACTTGAACTGATGAACGTTGTGACCGGCAAAAATGTCCCCCTTGTCCCCCCGTACATTTTTGCCGGTCACAGACGACCTACCGTGAATACACATACGGTTGGCACACCTGTAAATGCAGTCTGGTTGGGGGCGTCCGCTACTGTTGCCTACTAGTGCATTTATACAGGCAGCGCACTTGATGGACATGATAAAGAGCAGACGCTGTCTATCGTACCTCCTACTGATTGCTCTGCCTGTATACATCGGTCGACAGCTATGGGCAAGGGTAAAATCCAAGCGATAACGGTGTCACCCGGTGTCCCACTGGTGATTGCCGGCATCGCAAAAGTAGGGCTACCAATGACCAGCGCCGTTTCGAGCTCAGTGAAGGGGGAAGGGACACGACCGCGCGCCTGGTTCGCCATTTTAAAATAGCCCGGTACTCCAAGAAAACGTAGAAAAATGGCTCGGAAAGACACTTCTCTATCCTTTTAATGGTTTCAGTTGCGCTACCCTGCGCTCAGCCCCATTTCCGCGCACCGAATTTACCCGTTTTCTTCCTTTGCGACGACCGTGTCGATGTCGCCGGTTTTAACAGCACGATCGTGCAGTAAAAATCAAGTAACGTTCTGTTGCAATATACAAGCTGCCGGTGTCGCCAGGTGTTAAGCAGACGAAACTAGGACAGCAACACAAAAAAAAGGTTATCCAGTTTTACCTGTGGTACGAAATATCCCATATATATGGATAGCGCTGACGCCCTGGCGCCCAGACTGGTTGTGACGTGGGAACGCTAGGTCCTGGAGTATCACACAGCTGAAATCCTGGACTGGACAGGAGAATACTGCGGGCACGCTCCGTCGTAAGCCCCGCTGTCTTAGCCATATCGGATAGGTGATAATTCTCGCCAAAGAAATCATCATAGTAATTCCCTTCCGGCTCGCCCTGACTGATGACTTCTAAAACATGTTTTCTTTTTATAATTAAAAGTCTTATCAGCGAACAAAGGGCTCGGGAAGCGGGAAGCAAAAAACAGGTGCAAGTAAAGTCAAGTAAACGAGTACAGTCAAGTAAACGAAAAACGGCAAGTTCTGCAATAAACAGGGAATAGTAGTACCTCTATTTATTAATAAACAGGGAATAGTAATAGTGCCAGTATTTATGCAAATGATAATGAATTATTTATAAAATTTTATACGGGTTCCATTTAGAAAGATATTCCATTTCCACCACGTATAACTGCATCCAGGTAATTATGTATTCGTACAATGCGTACTTTGCGTCTGATACAAAAACCGGAGGTTTGCAAGAGTAATTTGGTCATCTGATTAAAATTTTGGTCATCTGGTCTGTTATCTGGCGGACTGGTGAAACCGTGAAAGCGGATAGTTTTCCTGCTTTTAAGAAGTAACCCGTTATACATTCTGAACCGAGCATTACCGCACCGAAACTTCCAAACACTAAAGAAGATACTCTATTCTATGCCCACAAATCATGTTAATGTAACTCAGTGTACCCACCTGGAGCGTGTATCCCGGAATTCGGATCCATGACAGATTGCGAGATGTCATTCGAAACGTCTGCAGCTAATCTTTCTTCTTCGGTGGCGCCTGCAGTTAGCGCAACATCTGCTGATGTTCCTTCGTCCTGCCCACGAGTAGGGGGATGGTCGGAATTAGAACGGGAGAGATCCCGCTGTCTAATGCCTGGATCACCTTTTTGCCGGGCCTTCAAGCAAGCCGATCGGCGGCAACCGAAACCATTGTCGCTACCTTTATTTGCTCGCGGTGCCTGAGCGACATGCTTGTTATCCTTCCTTATCGATTTAGGGATGGACCGAAGCGCAGAATCAGCTTTGCGTTGCGCTACTTCCGCTTTTTTCTCATCACAAACAAGAAGTTTGTCACGCGCAGGAAAACGACAGCGTCTTTTTTCCGCATGTGTTTCTTCGTTGTTTGATAACAATGTAGGGACTGGTACCTCTGCGAATAATTCGACGTATGGTACTAGGGATAACGTTTATTTAGTAGTAAGTTAGAAAACATCCAGCAACTACTAAAATTGAACATTATTATGACGTGTTATAATGATTTTTTCAAAGAAACGTACCCATACCATTCATGTTTTCCTGATAGGAGACTGCTTCAGTATATTCGCTTGACCATCCAAGAAGGGCACTGCTCATAGTGGATGATTCCGATGGAGGCGGTAAAGTGGCATCGTTATCCGTGCCACTCATAATGCAGGCGCTACCTGCATAACTCAATATTGGTAAAGGAGGCGGTAAATCCAGGAGGTCTCGCGTTATAACGGTATGATTTCGGAGAAACGCATCCTCAACATCTTCCATCAGGGAAGTCGGAAGCTCGCATGCTGCTTGGGTGCCATTGATTTCTGTAGAAAAGCGAAATTTATTTTATTTGACAATAGCCCGTCCTTGAAGCAAAATAAGACTGTGCTGGTGACACTAATTAAAATGATACAGACAGCATAAACTATTTTAATGGATTTGCATATTCTAGGTAATGTACACGATAATGAAGGCAGAGAAAAGCTCTCTAACTGGCGCCGGCTGAGCTTCCCACTGCCCACGGAAGGAAGCATGTTCCGGTGGTAAAATAAGATTACCGTCCACTCGGTTTGCTATGATATGTTCTTACAATATAGGAAGTGCGTAAATAAAATCGAAGCTGATTGCGATGTTGCCAGTTTACTGTGATTTCTGTCCAGTTAATAAAAATTAATGTTTTTTCCAGTCATGATATGATGCGCTCAGATATACGTACCAGCCGGACTTTCTTCGGAATCCACGTTCATGGCTGTATCTTCGACGGCCGGTGCAGACAAACGAGTAGTTTCGGCGTCTTCTTCGTCGTGGAAATTCGTACCATCAGTCTCAACGATTTCCGGTTGCTGAGTGACCGAGCCTTGCTCCGAAATATTCGATTCCTGTCCGCGAATCGCTACCTTCTCGGCGTGGATCGGACGTGGCATCTCCGGAGTGGTCAACTCTAACAGTCGATCAGATTGGTCAATGTTATGGGTGCAAAAACGAACATCTGTGGTGCTTGCGTTGTAAGTACGAGCACAAGTATGATTAAGAGCTCGATAAGATGACTGTCTGTCTTCAGCGCCTGGGCCAGCGTATTGCGTCACCATTACCCGGGCAGCGCATTGACATGCTTGTACCGTGTTGCTACTATCGTTTTCATTAACTTCCGATGCCTCAGCCACCATGTCTTTCTGGACAATTTCTGACTCCAGAATGCTTTGCTCGTCCACCTCCGCGTTGCTCATCGGACGCTCATCTGGTGGGCCCGTCTCTTGCTCGGCCGATCTCAGTAGTAGTGTAGCCCTTTGGTGTAGCAGTGCTTGTGCTAGAAGCTCCTGGTAATTGTGCCGCGTGCGGCCTTGAGGAATTATCCCATTTTGTCGCAACAGAGATCTAACAGTCTTTTCCGTTAAGCCGAACTTCTTCTGGATGTGCTGCCGACTGTGGCCCCCTTTAACGCAGTCCACAATTTCCTTTTCTAGCTCACAGCTGATAGCAATCTTGTCCAGCGCGGTAAAACTTCGTTTGGCGGACTGGAGAACAGCATAGGCGGCGTTAGATTCTACGTCAATCTCGCGAACAATATCCGCCATGGAGTACCCGCGATCGAACAGTTGGATGATGGATTTTTTTTGCTCTTCTGTAACGCCGACCATTCGTAGCGCTTTTCTCACAGTTGTCACGGTAATGTTGAGCTGCATCGCAATTCGTTCTGCAGTGTACTTTCCTTCGTGTGCCAGTTGAAGGATATCCATTTCGAACTTCTCGGGCAGCGTCGGTTTTCGACATATTTTTTCTTTAGCAACAAATCTCCTCAGCGTACTTGGCCTGACGCCCGCGCGTTCCGCGATTTGCTTCAGAGTGCAGCCATCATCGCGTAATTGGCAAATCAGCCGTTTTTTTTCTTCATCCATTCCTTCTTTGTGTGGCAACTTTCGTATCAACTCGTACCGCCGCCAATGGTTAACCCTCTACAGAAAACCCAATAACAAATTTAAACATAAAAGAAATATCTCATCATAATAATTACCAAAAAATCATTTCCGAGACAGTAATAAATATAAAGAATACATAAAAAATACAATGCACATACGTACGATAACAAGGTTCGCTTTAAATGAAAAGGTAATTTACGCAAGGCGTAGCACGCCTTATAGTGGCTTTAGTTTTGCCGGGTGTTTAAAATAAATTCTTTTACTTTCGGTAATGTAGGTCGCCGTTTTTCCAAACTGATTTGATTGCACCAAACTGCAGCCGATTAATTGTTGAGCGCATGCAACCGAAGCTGACGGTTATGCCGAGGCTCTCTGTACCGGCGAGATTCATTTCTGTTCCGTGAAAAGTATATCAAAATCTTAGAAAAAGGTGACTGCTAGAAAGGTGAATACTCCCCTGTGTTATAGTCTACTAGCCAAACCGGATCCTTACGGCTTGAATGTTACGGAGAAGGGAATCAAAACACTGATTGTTGAGACATCCCAAACTGGTCAAGAATAGGCGTACCGCAGCGACGGTGCAGAATGGTAAGGGCACAACGAACAATACTACGCTAGAGCTGGGATACATTCAGGGAAGAGCCGAAATTTTGGAAAATGACAGAAACACACTTATACATAAAAAAATCATAAAAAAATTAATAAAAATATCAGCAAACATTTCAATAAACTCAAGCCACAATTAACGGTCATATACAGTGGATGCCGTAAATGTGGTTACACCTAATGCATATGTACGGCGTCCTTTTTCTCACGGTTTCTTTTAGAAATGTTTTTGAAAACTTGATAAATCAAACTGCACGTGGGCCTCGGTTTTATGCATCGACCCCAGCGTGATCGTCTCCCTCCCATTTTGTTTTCCACCATAGTCCATCGCGTCAACTTATCCCAAGTAAGATAAAAATGTTTACTTCCGCCAGTATGCATCGCAGAGTAACGCTTTGCTGTTGGCTGATTCTACTAATGCTGATGATTGTGATTACACTTTTCAAATTTCAATGTTTTCCATTATTTCGTTGTTAGACTTCTGTTGTCGGTAGCCTAGAGGAGGAGGCATCTGCTCCAAAACATTAATTAGCTGTACTATGGTCTAAAAACCTTTTTGGTTGCCGCCTGGAATGTTCCATCATGAATGAGCTGTGGGAAATTCCGATCCTCATAGGTATGTCAAACGCGCTTATAAATCTCATAGCAATCCCAGTCTCACGAGCGTTCAAGCGGTTCTCTATCCGCTATAGAACGCATATCGATTTATCGCTATCGATTATTTCGGCCGTTTAGATTTCGGCTTCGCTTATTTTCGGCTAAAATTTTTCGGCCGTCATTCACTTCCGCCACATTATGTTTCGGCTTATACGCTAGCCTATGTGGCGTATTTAGGAAGGAGGGGGGCACCATCGCACGAACTTCTCAAATTTTTCTTAAAAATTAAGTGCTTAAAAAATATTGGGGAGTACTGCATAGAAATGGCAACCATTCAACCAAGGTTCCCAAAACCCCCAACACAATGATATATTTGGTTAACTTCCACAATTTTTGCAACGAAACTGATTGTTAGCTTAGCGCTACGAGCGAAATGATTACTTTGTGTAAATGAATAATTGAATCTATATTTCTTGTGAGAAATGAGGGTATAGTTCGCCCAGGTCCTATTCCACAATACCTAAAATGCGTTTACTTTAGCTCAAATTTTAAATTTGTCTTCTATTTTTAATAGATTTTCTTGCATTTTCCATCATTGGCTTCACTCTTTTCACGAAATTTGGCAATTGATATAATTTTTAGCTCGGCACGTTGTTACAATATCTTGGGCCAATATTATAGGCTAACAGAATTAGTTTAAATAACTTAAAAGTTTGAATATTTTCCACAGCAGATTATTCCTCCGTTTTGTGGGTTCCCGGGTTATCAGTGCCCCTCCCCGCCCAGTCGATATAAATTCGCCTACGTCAGCAGTAGCCTTCAGAACAATTGAAATTGCATTCACGGGGCTGTAATTAAAACCTTTTTAATTTTAGAGTTAGAAAACAACCAAACTCGTACACTATGTTTTACTGCAAAATTAATAAACAGAAAAATTTGCGACGTTAACACTTCCCAGTAGTACAGACTGTACTTACGAGTTCGCGTGCGACTTACGAGTATTTCAGGTCTCACGCGCGGTCCCTGTCACATTATACGGCCGATAAATCATAAGTAATTTTATTATTTAGCCTTCTGCATCCGTTTTTTATCCACCGGACGTTCCTGAAATGATAGATAACCTCAATATGCCATTAATTACAAAAAGATGGAAAGTAAATACTACACAGTTTGCATTCTTCAGAATATTATCTCTATAACAGATTCTAGGAAGGCTTTCCAAAAGGAGCAACCGACGCCGAATTGCTAAATACCTTATATTTTGCAATAAACTTCGAAATGATGTGGGTTCGGCCACCCATTGATCGGGATTCCGCGTTTTTAACTGATAAGGTCTTATTAACGGAAATTGCGACTGACAGACTGTAAGCCCAGAATGCGGGGCTCTTTGCACCAAAAACGCAACGGCACGGCTTGGTAGACTGAACGTGAGTAATGCTTAGGTTTGGGTCGATATTCTCTACATGTGCGAATTAGCTCACAATAGAGCGGACAGACTAAAGTCACTAAACCGGATTTGCGGCCGGTTATACCTCTACATCAACTCGTTGCAACGGCCTACTCGGCAGGAGCGGCCATCAGTCACTCTGTCTATGTGTGTGCAGTTCCGTCAACCACCACGGAATGGCAGCGTGCAAGCATCAGTTCACGAAAATTCTAGATGTGTATTACAGTGTACTACCGGGAACTGTTAAACTGGGGAATATTTCTCTGCCAGCACGGGAAACAGTAAGAAGAACAAAAGTGAATATTTTTTTAAAACGTCGACCGCTTTTGGAAAAAAAATGCAAAAATAAATATTTTTGCTAGTGATATTAAATTGAAATAAAGCCGTTTGTTGACTTTGCGCAAAATTAGCTCTTTATTGGATTTTAATGAGAAAATCTTCAAAATCGTTGGGCAAAATATAGGCATGCAGTTTACCATTTTCCACGAAACTGGCATAAAGCACATCGTTTTCTTTTAATAATAATTCATACGCCACAATTACTTAATTTTACCAGAAACTACAGAGTAGTAATACCATACTATTTTTATCGATTCCTAGTCAGCTTCGGTCTTTGCGCGTAACCTTATTGTTCTCTGAGCTATTTCGTATGTACTTTGTATATGATATGGCATTTGTTTTACGCTTGAGAAAAGCTACATTCATTTTAGGAAATCACTATGTATAGGCACCCCCAAACACCCTCGTTTATTATAGGCACCCCTTCTCGCACCCCGTAATTTATAGACACCCTTTTCTGTTTATTAAATAGAAACACCCTGTCAGTGTATTTTATAGGCCCCTTTAATAACATATCATTTCGGATACAGCATTTGAAAATGATTTCATGTACGTGCGTCAGTCTCATACAAATACTCACATACAGACAGAATCAGGCTTTCCATCCGATGATCGGGCGGTGAGGCCGATCTGCTAACTTAGATCTACATAATGAGGAAGGCATCGTCGGCGGTAATTTTGATGTTTCGTTTTGCAATCGTAATTTCGGATGCCGGTTTTCTGCCGGTACTTTTCGGACAGCGGGTGGCCTCCTCTTTATTCAGCGCTTCTGATAACCATTTTCGGTGCGGTTCGGCTTTTGTAAAAACCGTACCTTCTGGTGCCAGGCCCGCGATGATTTCGGCCATGAAGGCACAAACTAACGGGCCACACTGATTCGACCCCTGTAATGTCGTACTGAATGACCTTTGTATTTGTTGTTGTATTCCTGCCGTAGCAACAGGGATTTGTGATATTTGTATTATCTCTATATTTTCATGTCATCCTACATTCGGGCTTGTACCGTGCATGTCCTATTAAATTACATGTACTTAAAGACGTGACACCCCACATTCTGAATTTGAACAACAGGGAATATAACATCGTCGCTGCCGCTGGTTAAGCGGGCCGATATCTGCAGCTGGTTCATCGTCTTCAAACAGCTCTGCATTTGTCAGCGCCCTTTTGAACAGCGGAAATGCCTCCTTAAGGGTCCGAGAGTGACGCTGAATTACTTCACCCAGATTTGTCACAGGTTCGTTCCTGAATTTGTGCACTGCCATCATGCGTCGGCAAGTCAATCCGTATGAACAAGGAAAGTCGCAGTCACATTCCAGCGTTCCTTCTGCTATTTCTTGCACTGAAACTCGCTTTGACTGTTTTGACTTGTTACAACATACGGTCCTTTGACTGCTTCTACTTCATAAACAACACTTTTCAGGATGGCTAATTGTTTGAACAAAAGGCGACTGGCGAAATCACTTAACGATTTTCCCAGCACGTCGAATATTAATGATGTTCTGGTGCATGTACTTTGACTGCCTTTGTATCATGTATATAGTCCAGATAGTGCGACGTTGCAACTGATTCACAGGAAAATTCGAAAACAATACGGACACATTCCGCAAGGTGAGGCCTCGTTCTTCTGGTTAGTTGTATTGAAGCCTTCACTGTCCGAAAAAATGCTTCCACGAAGTTATTAGTGTTATTCCCCACCAAACGGAAGCCGTGTCTGTACGCCAAACTCCACATATGCCGGCAGTCGAACCAGTTTTTGGTCATGTAATCGATTAGGTCCTGTGGTAGTATTTCCAACATCTTATTCCATTCCACATCAAATTCGGCATCAGACTTTGAGTACAAAGCGTCGTAGAAATGACCGCAAGCTTCCGCTTTGGCGGGTCCAAACGTTTTCACCATATGTTTTCGAATATAGGCCGAAACGTGCCAAACGCATAACAGAATGCGCACTTGTGGAAAACATCGCTCCAAGGCACCGATCTCGTTGTAATCTTTGTCAACAAATACAGTTTCCAGTAGCTTGTGAAAGGTCGCGTTGTAAGCTAGAGCTGGTCACTTAGGAATTTGAAAGTTTTTCCTTACCCCCAGTCTTTGTGGCAGTTTTTAAAGGCGGTGAAAAACGCGTCGATATTTTCTGCCCTCTCAGATGACATAAAACCAAGCTCAACTGGTCGACCTTTCCCGTGGCGATCTTGCACAACGACAGCGTACAAGCAGTAGTTTTCAGCATTGATCTTGTATGTGCCATCCAAAAATGCCAGTGAAGGACTCTCGGTGAAATTTCTTTGCATTTCCGACGTGATTACTGTAATATTAGTGATCTTCCCTGCGTCCGAAGTGACTACATCCACAAACACATTCGGATCTTTGCCCCGGATTTCGTTAAGGACAACGTTCAGCATTTCCTCTTCTGTTTGTCCGCCTCTTTCACTGATCTCCGTTTTAGTGCGGATGTTCGCGATATCGGTAACCGTAACCGCTTTGCCAGTGTCTTTGGCCAATTGACGTTGGATGGCTTTTAAAGGCATCAGAGATTTTTGCATTGAAACCACGGTTTTTACTTCCGCTGAACTTCACCTTCGATTTTCTGGCAGGTTTTTCCATCTCTCTTCTGTGAGGGGGTGATTATGGCCGACATCCTTTTCGTTGACCTTTAGAATTTTTTCACACCCGCCTCCTAAAACTCGGATAGAAGCCGGACACTGACTCCGTGTGCTGTGGGTGAATGTTGTTGCGCCGGTACCTTTTTTCTCGTATTGTGTATGATGGACGCATTCGTACACCAACTTCCTGTATTTGAGGGTCTTAAATAGCGGGTCTTCGATGGCGAACTTCTCCGACCGACCGATGACAAACGTCTGGAACGTCTGTGTTTGGTACGTTTTAAATGCCTCTTCGAATCGGTCAAAGGTTTCATATACATCGACCAGGTCATTCTCAGGGTTTACTACAGGGTACGTCAAGGGACAATTAATATCTGTCTGATTTGGTGCAGGTAGGGAATTGGACGACATTATTACAGCACAAAATTACAAGACAAAATTATTGCAGTGTGTTAAGTGTTTACTTTCTGTTAACATACGAGTAACATTGTTTACAAGGTTTGTTTACGTTTTTGGAATGTAGTATCCTTAAGTAAGTACTAATCTGCCTCTCCATACTTTTGCGATCATAGTTACCGTATCTAGGTTCTAACACTAAAATTACAATATAATATGCTAAAGTTTCATAGGGGTGCCTATAAAAAACAAGGTGCACTAAAGAATCAATTAGTAATATAAGGGTTGCCTTTAATTAACGGGGTGCGGAAAAGGGGTGCCTATAGTAAACCGGGGTTTTTGGGGTGCCTATAGTGTCACCCTTCATTTAACCATCTTTCAGATGGTACATGCCAATTTCGTGGAAAACGGTGAACTGCATGCATATATTTCGCCCAACGATATGAAGTTTTTCTCATTTAAATCCAATAGAAAGCTAATTTCGCTTGCAACTACGTGCAATTACGTGCAACTACCGCATTATCCCCAAAGCAGCTTCCACGTGTGTAACCGTCCAAAACGTCCGGACGTCTGAGAAGTCCGGCGGACGTTTTGGCGCCTAAACCGTCCAAACCGTCCTGGGGCCGCCAAAACGTCCGCCCTAAACTTTCCCAATTCAGTTTTTTTTTTATTTTTCGTTGTACCGAAGCCGGACGTTTCTGCCCGACCGTCAATTCGTAGCCGGACGTTTCAGCCTGACTGTTATTTCGAAGCCGGACATTTCAGCCCGACCATTAGTTCGTAGCCAGACGTTTCTGCCTGACCGGTAATCCGGGCACGTTTTAACAGTCAGGCTGGAACGTCCGGCTACGAATTAACAGTCAGGCTAAAACGTCCGGCTACGAATTAACAGTCAGGCTAAAACGTCCGGCTACAAATCACCGGTCAGGCTGAAACGTCCGGCTACGAATTACCGGTCAGGCAGAAACGTCCGGCTACAGATTACTGGTCAGGCCAAAACGTCCGGCTACGAATTACCGGTCAGGCAGAAACGTCCGGCTACAGATTACTGGTCAGGCCAAAACGTCCGGCTACGAATTAACAGTCAGGCTAAAACGTCCGGCTACAAATCACCGGTCAGGCTGAAACGTCCGGCTACGAATTACCGGTCAGGCAGAAACGTCCGGCTACAGATTACTGGTCAGGCCAAAACGTCCGGCTACGAATTACCGGTCAGGCAGAAACGTCCGGCTACAGATTACTGGTCAGGCCAAAACGTCCGGCTACGAATTACCGGTTAGGCACAAACGTGCGGCTGCGAACAGACGAAAACACAAAAGAATCGGGTGGGCAAAATTTACGGCGGGCGTTTTGGCTGCCCCCGGACGTTTTGGACGGTTACAAACGTGCGCGGTGGTGCCGAGACCATAATCCACGCTACAAGGCAGTACCTGAAAGAGCCGCCCGATACTGTTAAGGTCATCGTGACGTTTAATTTCCGGATACGTTTAATATTAATACAGTGTCCCGAGAAGCCGCACTTAACGCTGCGAAATAACACTTTCGGAATACTCTGACTTCTTTCGGTCTTCGTACGGATATTACACGACGTTATACAACGACGA